CATTTATAATTTATTTCTGGAGCTCTCAATCATCACTCTGTAGCTAACGCATGCTCCTAGTTGATTCCGGAGCTGGTTCGGGTCTGACCGCCGGCGATTTCATCGAATCTCTCAGATCTGAATCGGTGATACTCATCGGCGCCAGTAATGTTGTACTTTGCTGAGCTGCTGCTCCTTTTCTCCACTCAAAACGGTGTGCTTTTTTACTATTCAAGTTTTTGTTTCTGTTATTTTAAATAGGAAAAATGCTTTTATCTCGGCATGTTCTATGGCGGTATTCCGCGTTTTTGTTTAATTCTACCAATCATAATATTTTGCTGGAAAATCTCATAGGAGACACTTTTTGAGTTGCTAATTTAGGGTTTGTCTTTGAAGAATTGGGCTTTATAGGAAAATTTTCGATTGAATTACTTCCGATGCTTGGGATATTAAATTGCTTTCCAAAATAGTTCCTACTTTATTTGCATTTACACCAGGGAATGAACTCTTAGCATGTGTACCTTGTGTGGCAGTAGCTGGAAAACTGAAACTTGCACTTTTACTTTTACTTTCATGAGTGGGAATTTCATATTATTGACTTAGCCTGCTACATGAATTTCAGGAGTGGTAAGGAAGGCCAATTGCTTAGTGCTGAAACATTTGCTTGTGCTATTTTATGTCTTGTCTATCACCAGTCTACCGGGTAAGCTGTTGGAAGCTGATGCTCTAGCTACAGTCAGTATACCCTTGACAGCATCATCTATACCTGATTTACCTATACGGGCCGATCTTCCTATATTTCATAAACCACATTGGAAACATGCTCCTCCTTATGTTACACCAGGGCTAGAGCTAGTTCCAGCTCAGCCTCCTAAGTATGGTCCATTGGTAACTTATGCACACCCTCCTTCAAGCTCTCACTTGTCCAGACCATCAATGAAGAAGAGTGGATTAGTTCCTCCAACTGCAGGGCTCTTACCTCCAAAATTTGATCAGATTGCCCCAACACAATCAAGTGCTAGTAGTATACCTTTGGCTCAGCCACCACTTTCACCTCAAACTTCTGGTAAGAATTCCATTTTCAGGAGAGAGATCCACGGAACTTTAGTCATTATAATCATGCTATTTTATTGTCATTTTTGTGATTTTGTCTATTATTTAGATTTTAGTATAAATATTTCTTGCTTGAATTTACTGAAACCCGGCATTAAGATTTAAGAAACTTAATTGCTTAAATAAATATCATGTGCATAGTGCCAAGTTTGAAAATGATCTATTTGATCCCAAACAAGTCCCAACAAAACACCCCACCTTCCACCCCTCCCCCACAAAAATGAAATTAAAAATAGAAAAATAAAAAAAGGGGGGAGAAAAATGAATAACTGTGTTGCTTTCATTCTTTGTTTTTGCAGACTGTTGTGGACCAGACATGGTACTTAAGAGAGGAAGCCTGCCTTGCCACTGTGTGTACCCATTAAAGATCGATCTTCTCCTTTTGAATGTCTCATCTAACCCACATTGGAATAATCTTTTTCTAGATGAATTTGCTAAACAATTGGGTTTGCAGATTTCTCAAATTGAGCTAATTAACTTTTATGTTATTGATTTGTCAAAACTTAATATCTCAATGGACATTACACCATACAAGGGAATTAGCTTTTCAGCAATCGAAGCCTCCAAAATAAACTCTTCATTGTATACGCATAAGGTTCATCTAAGCCCTGCATTAGTAGGTGATTATCAACTTCTCAATATAACCTGGTTTAAAGCTCCAGCCCCATCGCAAGGTAATTTCTTAAACATGACATCAATCATTACTATTGATCTACAAAATGTTGAGAATATAGGTTACTTGCTATAGTTTGGACCTTTTTTGTGAAGCTCTTTATCTTTTCTAAGTTGTAAATAACTTTTGTGTGTTATACAGCACCTCTAGCTGCTATGTCACCAATGGAAGCAGGTCCACACCTACCTTCAACTCATGCCCCATTCACCCCTGCAGATAAGGGGAAGCATCCAAACTTGATTCTTATTGTGGGAATTGTTGCTGGCATACTTATCTTTGCAGTTATCTCCATGCTCATAATTTATGCCTGTGCTTCTAAGCGAGGAAAGAAGAAAAGATCACCTAACGAGACTGGTATCTGATTTTATATGCAATCATCACTTCCTTGCAAAATTGTTGTGTTCTTTTCCATCTCATTTACAAAAGTTTCTGAAGCTTGTTCTTCTACCACTTTTTTACATAAGCTTAGTTTCCAATATAAACTTTCTAACAGAACTGATCAAGGTGTTCTTGAAATTAAAACTGTGTTTCCAGCATTCCTATTATTTAAATTTGGAGCATGGAGTAACCAAAATATAAAAGTTAGAAGAAACATACTGAATTTGAAGTGCTTGAGATGGCTTTACATTTTTCTTTTAAATATATAAACTAGCAGAACACTGATTTTTTTTATTTCTTCTAACTTCTATTCTGTTTGTTCTTTCACTTGTTCTCTTCATAACAGTGAAGCCTAGGAGTGTAGATTCTATTCAAACTGTAGGGTCTTTTGCCCATCCTACAAGTACAAGGTTTCTTGCATATGAAGAACTGAAAGAAGCGACAGCTAACTTTGCACCATCTAGTGTCCTTGGAGAGGGTGGTTTTGGCAGGGTGTTCAAGGGTGTATTAAGTGATGGTACTGCTGTGGCCATCAAGAGACTTAGTAGTGGAGGACAGCAAGGAGATAAAGAATTTCTAGTTGAGGTTGAGATGCTTAGTAGACTACACCACCGAAATCTTGTGAAACTTATTGGCTATTATAGCAGTATTGATTCTTCACAGAACCTACTGTGTTATGAGCTTGTTCCTAATGGAAGCTTGGAGTCTTGGCTTCATGGTAAATTTTTGTGTTCCTAATGCGTATAAATTTAGTTCTGAAGCATTTCTAAAGGAGTCACTTAGAGTGTCTATTACATGTTATTTACCTAGTTCATTAACAATTTTGATCTAGTTGTGCAATTTGACAATTGGACTGATTTGCTGCAGGCCCTTTGGGGGTAAACTGCCCTCTGGACTGGGACACCAGAATGAAGATTGCGCTTGATGCTGCAAGAGGACTTGCGTACTTGCATGAGGACTCCCAACCTTGTGTTATCCACAGGGATTTCAAAGCATCCAATATTTTGCTTGAGAACAACTTTCATGCTAAAGTAGCTGATTTTGGTCTGGCAAAACAAGCCCCTGAAGGCCGAGCAAATTATCTGTCTACCCGTGTTATGGGCACATTTGGGTTGGTTTCTTCCTTCAACTGGTTAATAATTAATAATACACAGGGAATCATTGACTAAATTGGAAGGCTCTGCAGGTATGTAGCCCCTGAATATGCTATGACCGGGCACCTATTAGTAAAAAGTGATGTCTACAGTTACGGGGTTGTCCTCCTTGAGTTGTTGACTGGAAGGAAGCCTGTGGACATGTCACAACCATCAGGACAGGAGAATCTTGTTACTTGGGTATGTAATATGTTGTGACTTTGGCACAGGCTGTCATTTGTTTTTGTTCATTCTTTGCCATAATATTGTGTTTATATATTTTTGGTAAATGGTAAAATCATACATGAGAGTTTTTTCAGGCCAGGCCAATCCTAAGAGATAAGGATCGACTGGAAGAACTTGTTGATCCACGACTTGATGGGAAGTATCCGAAGGAAGATTTTGTACGGGTTTGCACAATTGCTGCAGCTTGTGTTGCTCCAGAAGCAAATCAACGGCCTACAATGGGGGAGGTTGTACAATCACTAAAGATGGTGCAGCGCGTAACTGAGTATCAGGATTCCACAGCAAATTCCAACCCTCGACCCAACCTTAGGCAGTCATCCACAACCTTTGAATCCGATGGTACATCATCAATGTTCTCTTCTGGTCCTTACTCTGGCTTGAGTGCATTTGAAATGGACATCTCTCAGACAGCCGTATTTTCCGAAGACCTACATGAAGGACGATGACCCTTCATTCTTACAATCTGAACTGCAGTAGAACTTTGCAGGGAATTTTTGTGATGTAATGGCAGATGATCTTTCTTTCCCCCTTGGGCTGGGATGGTGGGGCTATTCATCCCTTGTAGAGAACCATTGTTCAGTAAGTTTTCAATGTGGTAACTCTCTACTGTTGGATGAGAGCTGTACATATGTTTGATACCCTCGCTTCTTTTTCATATTGGAAATGTATTGTTGGGTTCTACTACTTTTTCATATATGCTTTTTCTTTTATTGTGCAGCCAATTAGCTATCTTCAATTTAAAAGTTAGCATCAACTTAAACTCTCATCCCACCTCACTTACCTTAGCAATGATTGCATGAGGCCATTTTTCGTATTTGCTTTCAATCTGAAGCAGCACCACTTTCTTGTGTTTTTTTGGCGCAAAATATTCAGCTCCGGACATTTGTCATATTGTTATATTGTTTGATCTCTTTCTCAGCTCTTGGAAACCATTATAAGAATATTTCTTTAATTTATATATGCGCATGCACTGCAAATATAATAGTGCAGTAACTGCTGATCTGAGGGTGAATGTGTTCCACAAATTGAAAGAAAATATATAAAAACTACTGCTACTTTTTAAGCTACGTACTCATCATTGATTCTGCCAGACTATGTTCACAAATAATGACAAAATGCCAAACTATATGCACAAGTGAATTGAATGAAATGGGGACCTATGATTCTGGCAGATGGAATAAGATGTTTGAGTAAAAACGTGAAAAATATGGTTTGATTTTTGAACACTGTATTTTATTTTAAGTGGGGTAGTTGAATCTTACAACCAATGCAAATCCACCTTTTCCCCTTCCTAGCTTGGTTACCATTCTACCTATCTTCTGCAAGTGCGTGCAGTGCTAGGACCACAGGCTCACTGATGATGGTGAAACCAACCAACTGAAATGTTCTCTCTCCAGTATTATTTCGGTACCCGGCCGGCCAGAATATTGTGATAGATTCATGCCCATTGAAATAAAACTAGAGGGAGCTGAGCTGAGCTGAGCTGAGCTAGGAAGCTAAGATTGGATTATTTTTGGGATCGGAGCGGATCGGAGTGTTGTCTGATCTGAACTACATACACTTAGTGAACTAATTAACCCTTGTAGCTAGCTAGCTAGCTAGCTCTAAATTAAATTAAATGGAGTTGACAGAGATTGTGTCCTTGAAGAAAGTGTGGCTGATGAAGGATGAAGTGGGGGGAAGCTCTTCCAGCTCATCGTAGAAGTCGTTTTCTTCTTGTGATTTGGGGGTGGAGAAGTCCATGAGATGAGGGTAAGACAAGGGATCATAGTTGGTGGTGGTGGTGGTTCCCAAGGTTTCTGTAAAAAGATAGTTGTCGTCTGCCCGGTTTATAATCATATCTTCAGATGAGGTAGTGTTGAATGGAGATTGGGAGTAGTGGAAACTATCCTCCTCATAACCATTGTCCTTCACCCCGCTTCTGTGCTCCATTTCTTCAGCTTCTTCTTCTCCTCCTTCTGGCACTGGAGTACTTGTGGGATTATCTTCTTCTTCTGCTGCTGCAGGCTCTTCCCGGACCTCTGGATGGTTATGAGTGGAGGTGTAAGTGATGATAAGCACAGAGGCATCCGTTCTGCTCCTCTCTACCTGTTTCTTAGCTGAACAACCCTTTGAGCTGCTGCATCTGTAATAACCCCTGCACACACACACATATATATATAAATGCAAAATCGATCTATAAACCAAACCAACCAATCAAAGGAGGATGTATATATACATATGAATTCAAGAATGAGCTGAGAAGTTGAAAACAAGCTATATATAGATACCTGGGATGAGGAGATCCTTTAATGGGTTTTTGGCCATATTTTCTCCAGGACCAACTATCTGAAGGAGGCCCCTCGCTCTTCCGCTTCCTGCCATCACCTTCTCCAAGTTTCACTGTTACCACAACCTTTTGCGCCATGCTCCTAACACATGCAATTCCATCACCACATTATATATAAAAACCTCTTTTAATTTCATTTCTTCATCTCATTCATCATATATATATTTAATCAAGAAATCAGCTTAATTACCTCGCTTCTATAAAATTTACCTTTTCTTAGACGATGATGCTTGAACTTCTGGTCTCATCAGTGTTCTTGAATTCTTCAACTCTGATGCTGGGGACTGATGAGTGTTATCCATGTCTGCTAGCTCTTGCTTACTCTTCTAAAGACTGGAGACATGAAACCAAATTAAAGCAGACGCAGAAATCGAAAATATGAAGGAGCTGAGATGGATCAAGAGAGAGAGAGAGAAAAGGAATCAGAGGATAAGATGAGAGCAAAGAGGTAGCTGACAAGACAAACTCACAAACCCACAAGTTGCTTTCTCTCTCCCTTTCACTCTTTAAATATAAAGCCAAATACTCAACTACTGTTGCATTTCACCATCGCCCACTATCCGCAATAAGCATAAACTACACATTTCACTCGTAAAGGTGACATATTATATATGTGTGCAAGTTTTCCGTATTGCGTGGAGTTTGAGAGCGAGGGAAAATAATCAAAATGCACACCAACGACATTAATTATATTGTTTTGCTTTGGCATTAGTGATTGTGATTTGTGACTCTGCATAATTTTTTCTTACGTGCTCCATTTTTATTCACGCAAACTTATAATTAATTAATGTTAAAAACGTTACACGATACTGGTTTCACGACTTACTAACAAACATTTTAGGCACCCAAATAATGTTTTCGAATAGATTCCTACGGGCTCGAATCTTTTGGTGCGCATGCATCTGTGTCCGAGAAACCACTACATAGTAAGTAGCATGCATCATATTGCACGTTTACTCCATATATATGTTCATGCAATATAACATTAGGCGGCGAAGAGATCAGAGGCCTGCAACACTATACACACACACATAAATGGATTCCCGTGCGATTGATCTTTTTAGATGCGGTTGTGCGGTTGCTAAGGTGCGTCAGTGTTGAAATTTAAGGTGCGTCAATCTAAAGCTTAAGGTGCGTGATTTGTATGCTTAAATGTGTCAGTTGTGTGAAACTTAATGTGCGCCATTTTAAAACCTTAGGTGCGTGGTTTGTGTTCTTAAGGTGCTTTGTTTGTATGCTTAAAGTGCGTGGTTTGTGTACTTAAGGTGTGTCGGCCTAAAGCTTTAGGTGCGTGTGATTTGTGTTCTTAAGGTGCTTTAATTTGTTTTTGAGCTTAAAGTGCGTGATTTGTATACTTAATGTACGGCATTTTAATGCTTAAAGCACGTCAACCGCACCAAAAGTTATCTCCGCACCATAACCCGTCCCTATATATATATATATATATATATATATATATATATATATAATCATATCAGGTGTATAAAGTTAAGTATTCCCAATGGCAATATGGCATGCGATAGTCCTATTATTCAATGATGATATTGGCTACATTTTTTACTCTGTATTCAGTTGGTATGGTGGTAACATCATATACGTGTGTAGGCCTGCAATTTTATTCGATTCATATTTTATGCGACACAAAGATATATATATATATATATATATATATATATATGCATGTTAGGTTGACAAATGTATAGTTTATACACCTATATGCATATATAAAATTTCATAAAAAGTGTATATTAATATTATACTTTATATGAAAAGTTAATTAAAACTTCTAAACTTTTAAAAGTACCAATTAAACATATTAACATACAATTTTCATGCACCTAGGGACTAGGGTTTTGGCATGCAAAATTGGCAATTGCCTATGTCATTATTGAAGAAGACGATTGACGTCTGCTTCTTATATATTGTAAGAAGCCAACTGTCAATTTTGCACCATGAAATCCTAATAATAGGCTATTATAGGTGAATAATCATATCGGTTATGGTGTATGGAAATCACATATTGATGTGTTAAATACTATTTTTAAAAGTTTAGAAGGCTAATTGACTCTTTGTATAAAGTTTATACGTTTATTTACCACAATCCACTTTGTTATGTGCATCGCGCCAATGCATATGCATCCTTCTGGCGACCATCCTCCGTATTAGAGCCCCATATCGCTCATCATCAAGGAACACAGACAACAAATCTTTCTAACAAAGGGCAAAGAGCATTAGAAAACACATCCAAATGAATGAGGCACATAATACAACATTGGGGACTATATTAAATGTGTGTGACACATGGTATACATCTGCTCGTGCACTTAGGGAGATTTGTGTAAGCCATAATGTGCACCCCTAAAAATAACTAGCATGCTTTGCAATACAGCAGTGTGCACGTGGGTCGTTTTGAGTGTGCTAAAACGTTCTTTATTCATTTATGCAAGGGAAAATGAAGAACAAGGTGATGTGTCGTTGTGATGGTTTGTGTGTGCCATACTGATGTTCAGAACAAAAAAAAAATACAAGTGCACACCCTTGACAAGAATACAAGATCCCCAATATGAAACAACAACACAAAAAAAAAAAAAAAAAAAAAAAAAAAAAGGGAGAATCGAAAAAGGAAAAAAAAAATGCCATGGCTGCCGATAACGAACACAACCCCAAACCATACACAGCTACACACCCACACCCAGTAATAGACGAACAACAAAAACATAACGATAAAAAAAAATCACTGCAAAATAGCTCGAACCATCGCAAACAACGCAAATGAAAAAAAAAATACAAAATAAAATATAACCGACCTTGAACGGACGATCTGGTCGCCGGTAGAGGACACTTGGGGTTCCTACCATTTACGCTGGCCATCTACCTGCACCGAACAGCGAAAGAGGACGATGAAGAAAGTGCAGCGGTAGTCGAGTTCGCCAAGGAGTCCAACCAAATTCAAAATTACAGTCTAACAGTGAGCCTATAAGGAGTAGAAGTCGACTATTATGCCAACACACGCACCATTTAGCAATTGAAAATACTAAACTACCTCCTTGCCTTAAATTAAATCCCTCCACGTAAAAATAACCAAATTGAACTATTAAAAACTATGCGCAAGCGTAAAAATAACCTAATTACATAATTAAAAAAATCTGGACCATTGATTGATTAAAATAAATGGCTAAGATTAAGTTCCTATGTTCCTACCTAAAGATGGGTTCTTATATGAATCTAAATATATATATATATATATATATATATATATATATATATATATATATATATATATATATATGCATGTTAGGTTGACAAATGTATAGTTTATACACCTATATGCATATATAAAATTTCATAAAAAGTGTATATTAATATTATACTTTATATGAAAAGTTAATTAAAACTTCTAAACTTTTAAAAGTACCAATTAAACATATTAACATACAATTTTCATGCACCTAGGGACTAGGGTTTTGGCATGCAAAATTGGCAATTGCCTATGTCATTATTGAAGAAGACGATTGACGTCTGCTTCTTATATATTGTAAGAAGCCAACTGTCAATTTTGCACCATGAAATCCTAATAATAGGCTATTATAGGTGAATAATCATATCGGTTATGGTGTATGGAAATCACATATTGATGTGTTAAATACTATTTTTAAAAGTTTAGAAGGCTAATTGACTCTTTGTATAAAGTTTATACGTTTATTTGACCATTTTTCCTACAAATTTTAATGTACATGTTGGATATGCAATTAGGGTACCTAGTCGGCGCTACTAGCAGTCAGTCGGGCACAATAATCAACCAGATAGTGAGTTGGACCCAGTACGCGACACTCAAGACGTGACCAATCGACTTTAGCGGGGGAAGAATGAATTAAAGTGACAATCACAAGCAATCTATATAAACTACCTTCCTAAATACCATTTTATTCCCCAAATCACCTCCACTATCTAAATATCTTTATATTTCCTAAATTCATCTACATCCAATAAAATATTCCACTCTACAGTAATACCCAATTACCATAAACAAATCACTACGAAATGTAGTACAATTCTTCTACTATAAAAAACCCTAGTTAGATAGAAGAAAAGGACACAATGAACACACCATCTTCATTCCTCTACCTCTACATCTCTAGAGAAGAACACAATTGTACATATATCAACTACATACATAATATAGTGAAATTTTGGTATGGCACCGCTAAAAAAGGCTTGTGGTATTCACCATTCGGTTTATTTTCCACGTTAAAAATATTGTCTCCCTTTATTTTTCTTTACTTTATTTATCTAATCGATCATGTTGGCACGACGAATAACTGCCCCGATAGTAAGAAAATGAACTGTACACAAAACAACATTATCCCATAAACTTTTCAATTAAAGAAATTAAATATTCACACATATATGGAATTTAATAATAATAATAATGAGCAAATACCAATTTTGGTCCCACAAGTATTAGCAAAATGACAGTTTTGGTCCACATGTTTAATTCATACCAATTTTCATCTACGACTATTGTTTTAGTGTCAAAATTCATAACGCCGATAATTCATTCGTCTAAGACATTCCGAAATCTAAAAATTGTAAGTGTATCTTTGTCATTTTCAACTTAAGATCCCAATTTGAGCATGAATAATGAGATTTAAGCCCTAAGATCGATCCAAATTCTCCTCCTCATCTTACCTTAATTTGAGTGGGAGATTGTGAATTGAGATCAATTTTAGCGCTTAAATCTCTTTATTCATGCTCAAATTGGGACCTTAATTTGAAAAGGACGAAAATACCCTCAATAATTTCATTTTTCGGCATATCTTAAACGGAGGGGTGACTGGTGTGATGAATTATGGCACTAAAACAATAGTTGCGTGGATGAAAATTGGGACTAAAACAATAGTCATGGATGAAAATTGGTAGGAATTAAACATGTGGATCAAAAGTGTCATTTTGCTAATATTTGTGGGATCAAAATTGGTATTTATTCTAATAATAATAGTAATTTTTTGAAACCTCACATAGAAACGATCTCTCTAATAATACTATGAGCAGTCCAATTAGCAGATCACTTAACAAAATAAAAGTTTACATCCATAAATTGAGCTGCTATTCCTTTAACATCATCAATAATCATGGCACCAAAAGTAGATATAATAGAGTCAGCCAAGATGGTATGGTACATAATATGGAGTAATAATTTTTAATTATATAGCTTAATTTGTTGTTTTTGTGTTGGAAAGGTTGGAACTGAATATCAGGTAATTTATTAATAGGTAGCTAACCACCGGCTGATACTATATCAGACGTGGAAAGCTTACTATACCACGGCGATGTATATGTCAACTTAAGCATGCAACAACCAGGTCAAGTCGTGGCTGCAACCACTTCCATCAAATTATATCTTTCGTCTCTACCTTATGTATGCATCTCATCACTACTTGCCATCTTATATATCATCACATTTTGATCGGATATATAGATCATCATTGCTAGCTAGCTATCAAGGTTTAATTTGTTTATTGGATCAGAAGAAATTGAAATGGGCTGGAGTTCAGGTCAACCAAGAGTGAACAATAATGGCGGTTTCATTTTCCGGGAGGCATTTCAGATGCTCACCACCACCCTCCTCACCCTTCTCCTTCCTCTCTCCTTTCTCATTCTCGCCAGGCTAGCCATTGCAAGAGCCGTTTCCGTCCACCCCAACAGCTCACTCTTAGTCGACCTCTTCCTTAACGCCAACTCCACTCTCCTCCACGCCCTGCTTCCATTACTCGCGATTGCAGCGCTCACTCACGCCTTAAATGCCCGCCTCTCCTTTATCAAGTCTCAGCCCGCAGAGGCGGCCGTAGTAGTCTCCGGCCCGCGCCTCTACTCATCCTGGCTTCTGCTTTGCACCTTGCAGGTTTGTGTTGGGTTGGGGATTGAAGGGAGCATAGCTGCTCACGTCGTCGATGGTTCTTCACTTCTTAATGTTCACCGCCAGAGGAGTTTGTTAAGTAGAGCTCTGTTCTTCCTGGGGTTGCATCAGACTATGCTCTTCTGGTCCGAGACGGTGGTGAAGCCGGTGGTGGACGATACCATCTTCGGTTTCTCCAGAGAAGATAATAGCAGGTGGGTTGACAAGGCGGTGATGGCGGCGAGCTTCGGCGGGTTGTGGTGGTGGAAGTTAAGGGAAGAGGTGGAGGCGCTGGTGGTTGTGGCTGAGGTTAAGAGAGATCTATCAATGGGCGTTGGGGTGGCTGATTTTGTCGGATGGTGGTTGTATTACCTAACTATAACCATTGGTATTGTTAAGGTGGTCAAAACTGTGATTCGGATCCCACTCATTTTCTTTTACAGGAGAATACACCAGGATGCTAGTAATTGGAGGATTAATGATAATAATGTCTGAAAAACATAATTTCTGGCCGGCCTGTTTTTTATTTTCATATGGAAATTAAAATCGTTCATGTGACCTTGTAAACGTTATCTTTAATAGATATAATATATTTGTTAATGTCTTAATTTCCTACGTAAGTACATCGACCCAATCAAATTAAAGGTCAACCAAACTCAAAAATAAATACTCAATTGTCACGACGCCGGCCGGGATCGGAACTTCCAAGCAGAAAAGGAATATATAGGCGTCCCCTTCCACCCCACCACCAGCGACTTACCATTGCCGCTTACTGAGCAAGAAGACTTACACGCGAACTGTTGAACCGCCATGTTAGCGTGGACCCAGCAAGTTTGGCTCAGCTCCGTTTCTTCAACCCCAAACCTTCCAAAGAACTCTCTCCAAACCTGCATGCTCACGCTTCTCGTCACCCTTTCCCGCCCTTCCGCCGCCACGATGTTACGGATCCCGTCGAGGACCGACCCGGATTCGATGCTCGCCCGGTGCTGATCGTCGCGCCGCATTGTGTCTTCCAGTGCGTCGAAGTAGGCGCTGTAGTAGAACAGGGCGTCGATGAATCTGTGCACGAATGAGGGAGAGTTGAGATTGGCTTCCACTTCTTGGACCACCATCACGCTGGGTTTCAGCCTCGTGATGGCTCTCATCACACTTTCCAGCTCCACTGGTTTGGAAATCATTGTGCGGAGAATGAAGGAGGCGTGGATAACTACGGCTTCGTCTGCCTTTATCTCCACTTGCTCTGCCGTGAAGTGCTTGAGGTCTGGTATGTAGAGGACGTTGATGGAGAAGGGCAAGTTGAACTGGGTGGCGAAGCTTTCTAGCCGCTTCCCCGTTTCCTCCACCTTTTCTTTCTCGGTGGTTTCGATGGCGGTGAACCTGAAATAACGTTGGCCGGAATCTGCGGCCGCCGCCCGTTCCGATAGAGCTTGCATCAACGTGGACCACTGAACTCCGGTCCTCAAATAGAAATCCACGAGGTGGACCTTTGGTTTCGTGACCACATGGTCTAATATCGTCTGCGTAGCGCTTAATTGCACGACTTGGGAGAACGGAAGCGTTTGATGCCAGATTAGGTACGCCATGTCATATCTTGATGCTAGGCACTTGCCGTCCTTCACACCGTTCCCATAATCATCATCATTGGATGACGACGATGGCGGTGGCTTTCCGGTTTGTCGTTCTATCCTGGCCTGAAGAGCATCCGCAAAGTAGAACGCTGCTCTTTGAACCGGAGTTCCAGTGCAGGAGGCGCTGTTCCGGCACTGGCTCACCAATCTGATTGCCCTGTCGAATTGGTGGTCGGAAACCTTCTCGGCGGCGGCCAGGAGGAGCTGAACAAGCTCCACATCTTGTTTATCTTGAGAACACAATTCAGAGAGGGTCGAACTATAAGGATGCTTGAAGATGTTGATATTAATGAACTTGTGATCAGAGAATTGTACGAATCTTTCTCCTGCAAGCCTCACGATTTGCATGGCTGACAGTTTCTGATGATGATCGCGGCCACCATCACCACTACTGGCAGCAGCGGCTAAAGAATTTGGACGATTACCTAGGATCCTTAAAGTTGCCGGAGAAAGAGGTGGCCAGGCCTTCTCCGCCGCCTGAAGTTTGGTGCTTTCTTGAATATTGTTTGATGAATTACTGGTAATAAACTGCCTTTCTACACCCAGTAGCTGATCATTTTCTTGATATAATCCGTACTTGACACAAAATAAATCAACATCGTCTCCATAACCGTGAAATCCTGACGCTAACTGCTTATTATCATCAATAATCTTGCTGCTGCTACTGGCCTTACCTTGGTCATAAGCTTTGGCAGAACTATTACTGCTGATTGGAATGTGATTGAAAGTGAAAGTGGAAGAGGACTGTGATGAAGAAGAAGAGGAAAAGAAGTTATGAGTGGCCATCACAGTGAGTCTTGAATTAAGATGAGCTGAGAGATGATTGATGGACTTCATTAGAGAGAGATATATATAATGTTGTGCATTATGCAGTATGCACAATGCCTGGCCCCACATAATTGTGGTAGCCACCAGGAATCCATTAGTCCACCACATTAGGTGAAACTTTCACACGGTAACTTTCAGTATTGAATATCGATAATGTGTCTTTGTATATAATTTACAACTCAAGAACTAACTGAGCTGTCTCTATGGCCCTAACAATTAAGTTTATGTTGTGTGGATCAATATATGTATGTTTTATGATTACAAAGGCAGGGATGAGTTATTGCTTATTGTCCATGTAAGATTTTGAGGTGAGATCCAGGTTGCCTCTTTGATAACTACACTTCATACTGCCTTCTCACCTAATATGTGCCCAAAAAACAGTTGGATTTTGTCTTTTACACTCTATGCCTGCATTGGGATTTGGGAATAATGTAACCTCTTTTGGAAACATTTCTTGAAATTTTCAGCCCACTTTATGCTACAACCTTAACCAATAAAGCTCATCACTACCCCATTCCTGTCCACCAAATTCTAGACTGTACACACAGGAGTAAGTACAGTAATACTTGTAAACCTTTTGTTTTGAGTAAAACAAGCAATTCTAATTGAACACTGTGCAGAAACATATAGGGAAGAAAGAAATAAAAGAATAACAAATCTATCAAATCAAACTGAGATGATCAATTTGATTCTGTGCTAGCTGTTGAGTAAGTTGCAAGTGGTAATACAATATCTCGTTCCAAGTATCAGGAACCCCGGGAAGACACCAATGGCTGCAATCTTGGACAACAGACTTGCTACCAGCTTTTCTTCCATATGTAGATGGATGGCCGTCTATCCTATAATTTGACAAACCAGTAACGTTTAGAATGGTTACTGGAGTTTTCATCTGCCTTATGACCTGTTCCACGATCATATTCTTCTTGGGATAAGCCGTGCTATAACTCTTCTTGAGAGGGTGAGAAGCTTCTCTGCAATGGCCACCAGTGTTCCATTGCCCACCACTGTCCAACAGGGGAAATGCCAATTAGCTTCATCAGGAAAAGAATACCATCAGCCAATACAGCAGACAGACTGAATCAATTAGACCCTGCATACCTGAAATGAGAGGGCGAAGAAGTTCTGAAGAAAACTTGTGTCTTCCTAGGATGGATGTGTGTGTCAACCCAGGATGCCCAAGTCATTAGAGCTCTTTGGAAAGCTGTTGAAACATCAAGCCGGGCGTGAACTTGATCCCCTTCCTGGTAATAATTGATCCTGTTATAAGCTATTAATAGTCAGATCGAGGTAAATACTTGGAAGAAAGTAGTAATGAAATATTTCTATTTTCAAAGACCTTTATCATGCAACAATTCTCATTGCATTGTTATCACTGTATCAGCAACAGAAAAGGATGGCAGTTTAATACTTAGTTATGCTATAACATTTGAATGTCATCAGAATCTAGTACATGTTTTTGAGATCTCCAATCAGGCAAATATGGAAGATTTCATTTGGGTGATCTTAGAGAAAACATATTGTCAAGTCAACCACTTATTCATACCAAATGCAAAATCAGAAAGGTTAAATATATTCCTAGAATACGATCTCGGGTTGAGAATCAAGGTGTTCACCCTGCTCTTGTTTTGTGATGTGACCACCAATGTGCAGTGTTGAAAACCAGAATATCAGCATTACTCCATCTAGATGACCCTCTGTCAATGGCATCAATACGCAAAGTCTGACCTCGTCTCTTGCCTATCCTTGCCTTACCTTCACGAACCAAAAAATGTGTAACGTAGAATTCAACTGTGCATTTGTAGTCCTGCAGGAGTAACGTAACCATGATCAATGATCAGAAACTACTACTACATGCTCGTGGGAATGTAAGGAATTTGCTACACTTTCAGCTGAGATTTTATAGCGTACCACAAACTTGAAACTGTAATTTCCCTTCCCTTTGGTTATTCTTCGACCATGGGTCTCATACACTTTTTTGGGGTCTTTGATGGCTCCCATCAACAAGCACAACATGGACTCCCACTGGTTCCTGTTAATGGAATCCCCAACAAATACTAACCTCTTCCCTCTTATCAATTCCAACATGTGAGTAGCATTAAACCTATTGAATGAATGAATCCACATGAGGATATTATTTCTTGACAATTACTCAGAAACAAGAAAACACCATTGAAGGAGAAAACACAAGTGTGATCTTTACCTTGGAATGTCACAATCTTGAGGTTTCCACCTCCATTTCATGTAGTCTTTATCATGTCTTCCATTAGCTTGGCAACTAAACCCTTCATCTATAAAAGGGCAAGAAATATTGGTGTACAAAGGGTAGCTCTCATCAATAATCCATTTCCCTATTGTGACATCACAAACTCTTCTTCCATTAATCTTCTTCTTCTTCTTATTCTTCTCAATCACATTACTACTACTTCTTGGGCCTCTTATTTTCTTGGAAAAAGTAGTATCTGAGAAATGTTGTTGCTTACTATTATTGGAGCTACTATTACAGTGAACACCATTACTACCACCCTTTCCACAGTCTTGAACATTTTCAGATTGATTTACAGCTAAATCAGATTTTGTCAAGTGGGTATCATCCAGAAGTGTATCATTATTTACAATGATTGAAGAAAAATATGCGGCAGTAATGGTAAAGTTACCATTCAATACATCCCTCGCAGCCGCGAATTTACTCTCGCCTGCATCTTCTTGAACTGAGAATTCACTCTCATGTTCCTCCGCAACTGGGGAACCATTTTCTTGAACATGAACAGTACTCCCGACGATTGGACCCAAGGTGGCAGGGTTGAGCTGAAGATGGTTTTCTTGAGGGGAAGGAGAGATTTTGAGGAGCCAGACGGAAAAGAAGATTAGAAAGACGATGGATAAAGAGATTGTATATGTAAAAAGCAAGAATCGAGTGGGCTTGATGGAGAAACTCCTCTGCTTCTCCATTATTTCTTCCCTAGCTAGCTAGTATGATTGGAGTGCGAGTAAAGTGGAGAATGAAGTAAGCTTCAAGAAACCGGTGACTGTATGAGTTTCCATAAACAAATTAAAGAGGGCAGGGAAGAGAGAAAGCAGACAATGCAGTAAGTAGTAAGTAGGTTTAAAGAGATTCCGCAGCGATGGAGAGAGCTTAACTACTCCATTAATCAAGATTCAAGGAAATGGAAATGGGTAGTTTTTTTTTTTTTTAAATAAATTAAGTGGCGTGTGGGGGTTGGTTGGTTTAATGGTTTTACTAAAACCGTTTTAGTTGACAAAAGTGGCACCCCCATTGAGTTTCAGCATTAAGCATGGTTCAAAATGAGAAAATTATGCCTCGGCCACATGGTGTAATGACAAAGAGCGAACATATAATAGTGAAAAAAATAGAATTTTGTTGTCTCCCAAACATATACACACATAAACGTAACAAATAAATTCATTTCACAATGACTTAAATTGGTTACACCACATGATGTATACATCTTCAATTTTTAATACAATCAGATAAAATAATTGTACATTACTTCAAAATAAAAATAAAATCAATTAATTGCGATATGATAGCCAATTGTGTCTCCAAAATCCTGCAGTAAATAAAGAAAACAATATTAGTTACCTACAATTTATTTAAGTAATTAATTAAACTCCTTGAAGGCCGGAAATATATACTTAACAGTACGTAATTCGATCACTAACCAAATGCTGGTGCTGCCTAATTACACCATTCTGGATAAGTGTGATTATACGAATTAGCAGGTATGCTGGCAGCAGTATGCCAACGGCCTTTATAACCACAACCTGCAGATAACTCACGTACAATATAATAACAACAACAACCATAAATGCTGCAATGTTGTTTTCGATCAGCATATAATATATCATAAAAAAAGAATATGTTTTTTTTTAAGATTTTTCATTTCTCGTCATCAAACAATATATCTGTCTGTACTTACCGTGGTAAGTGAAAATGGGTAACGTCTTGCTTCACCGGCGACCAACTCAAAGAGATGCCCCATTAGGAGCAAAAATGCCAGCTGCCATTTTTGTAATAATAATATAAGGGAATGGAAATTTAAAAAGATTGAAACGTGTATATATATATATATATATATATATATATATATATATATATATATATATATATATATATATAAGTGAGAATGAGTGTGTTTGATTTCTTACAATGAGGACAACTATGCGACAACGAGAGGCAAATTTACGTACAACATTCAATGAACATCGTTCATCTTCTTCACCCGCCACTCTCGGATTTTCTTCTATTCTTGGATTTTCCGAGCTTTCCCTTAATATATTTAATATTTACTATTAAATTATTTCAACATAAAGGTTGTGTTTGGTAAAATAGTTAGCTTATTCGTCAATTTTGACATATTTAACCACTATTAGCTGTTTGACTTGGTTAAACAATCAAAGCAGTATTTTCAATCAGTTTTTTGAGAAAGTCATTTTGCAAGCATGTAATCAGCTATCAACTAATTTACCAAACACTTCTCTACAATCAGCTAACATTATCAACTAGCTTAACCAGACCCACTAACAAATCAGCTAACAACTATTTATCAAACACCCCAAAATAATTTTGCATGCGTGAAATTATGAAATAGGTAGGTATGGTACAAAATACCAAATGGTGACAGGTGGTGTGTGAAGAATCTTGGGAGGTGGAGCCGTGTAGCCATCTTCAAACTTCTGCAAATCCAAAATCTCTCTATCAATATAACACTAAAATACAAGTGTACATACAGCATATGAGACAATATTCCTCTTTCAATTCCAATTCCTTGCCATATATGTGATGTTACAGTAAAAAACCCCCAAAAACAAAGCTATCATCCCATCTGGTCACCTTTTGTTTGGACTGCATGTTCTATAATATGCATGTCCTATTTGTCTTCCTCACTAGCTAATTAAAGTTAATTGTAATTAATATAATGCTGTACAGCCTAGCTAGCTATGAACACTTATCAGAACTTGAATGCCAGACAGACTCACAAGAAACATAAATAATTAATTAAATCCTACGAAAACATGCATGCATGCATGCATGCTTTCATTCATGCCCGCATGTCATAAATTGCCCAGATTTAAGACAGTACAGAAGATAAATATATATATACCTGTAAACAAATTTCACAAATTGTGTTTCCTTTTTCATTGCACCATCTTTGTATGCAGTCTCTGTGTGCCAGCTAAATCAAAACAAACTCATGGGATGGGATATGAATCATATGATATGATATGATGCAATTAAGTTAAAGTTGAAGTTGAAGAAAAGCATAAAGTACTTTGAGAGTCCCAGAACATCCACAAGGAGCTTCCAAGATCTTGGAGCTTTCAAACTCTGCTTCATGGCAAATTCTGCAGAAACACATTGCACCACAAACTATTTCACAATCATCATCCCCCACATATATTACCAAATCACCCATTGCTTGCTACCTCCTTCAATTCTTCCTTTTCAAATTTGCAGATCTCATCTTATGTATATATCATGTTTCTGTCTCTCTTCTTCCTTCTCTGTTTCTTGGAGTATTGTGCAGTGGGACTTTAAATACAGGATGGAGGGGGGAAAGAGGGATGGCTTTAATTTTCAACAACCTTTTTCACACTAACTAATAAAGAAGAAGAAATATAGATATTTATTTGAATGCATCCATTGAATATTAAGACAAATTCACTAAATTAAATAAAATCAATTTAATGCATTAATTTTAGTTGACTGAATTCATACCGCATTACAAAACCTTCTATAAAATTATAAAAAGTATCTGTTCATATACTTTCTCAATCTATTGAAACAAAAAGAATAGATAACATTTCCACTAAAGCTCGAACTCATAACCTTTCAAATAGAAATCTAACCCGTGTACCATCAGACCACATAGTCTTGGTATTTGTATGGTTAGTATAATCTATCACTATCATTCAAATACAAACATTATCTTTAATAATTCAACATCGTTGTAATTAAAATTGGTTCACTTCTAGAATTTCACGGTGTGAGTTTCATCATGAACACCCCCAGAAGGTACTTTGAACTCTGTCTTCGCTCCCTTACTTCGTGCCATGCTCTCGAGCATCCATTTTGCCTTGATATCTCCCCTAATTGTCCTCTTTTAAAGCTTGTGCGTCCCTATGCCCATTCTTTCCTTCAAGCACAAACACATCAAATTAAGCATTATTTCACCATACTTCCCTAACATTCAAGCAAAATTAAGCATATATGAAGCACAATTATAAACCACTTTATGGCTTATCAGAACAATAATTATATCATGGATCAATGTCACATTGCAACATAAATCACTGATATACAAGTTCATTTTTAATATATTGTACTAAATACTCATTTTTAGTATACTACATGATTTACGATATAATTTGCGGCAAATTATATCGTGCACCGCGGTGTATACCGCGCATCAAAACAACGTCGTTTTATTTAATGAAAATAAACGGAATCCGTTTCGCGTCGTTTCGCAAAAAATAACTCTGTTCTTCAGTTTCATTTTGTATACACTGCAGTTTCAGTTCAACACAACTACAGTTTCATTCCGATATAACTACAATTTCATTCAATATTTATATACTCAAATATGTGAAAATGTTATTTAATTTTATTTTATATACACTATAGTTTTATCAAAATACAACTACATGGTCATTTCGATATAATTACAGCTTCATTGTACAATATACACTCAAATATGTGAAATTTTATTCAGTTTCATTTTATATATACTACAGTTTCATTTCACCACAACTACAGTATCATTTTGATATAATTGCAGTTTCATTTGATAATATAAAAATAATACGTGAGGCAATGTCGATTTAGATACACTGTAATGTCACTATGCTAACATTAACAACGCGTCATTTTTTTACTTAAAGAAACAGTGTCGTTTTGATGCGCGATGCATAATTAATTATGCCCGCGGTCCACGATATAACGATTGATAATTTGCTGAGTCGTTATGGGCCTGTATGATTGCTAAATTCAGAAACAGTGAGCTCACAGAAATATCTTGATTGGGTAGGGCCCATTCAAGCCCACAGAAACTCCAGATGGCAATTAGAGATGAGATCAGACGATGGAGTGAGGCGCTTAAGCTTTCTTGCCCGAACTGGCAACAAAAGGGATGGATGTTAACTTTTTTGTATGTTTGCAAGGCAATTGATGTTTATCATAATTAAATGAATTACGTTTGTAAAAGTTTCAATATATATATTGGGAGAAGAGACCAAGGTTTGAACCTCGGCGGCGGCAATGCGGGAATTATGTTCAAAGTGGGCAGATTCCTTGTGCGTATCAGCATTTGGCCCTGTCTGCTGAACCATTGAGTCACCGTGATTTACAACTTCCCACAATGCTCTGTCGGGTCGGAGTGTGGGGGGGCCTTGGGGTTGGGGACTCAACCTTTGGAAGAAGAATTACCTATTTAAATACGCAAATTCAACCTTCAATTATCTATGCATGAACAATTTCAATATAATCTTGCCTTAATATACTTTAAAGTACTTATTTTTTTAAAAAAAGCATTGGACATTATCCCAATCGCGCAATGCGCGTAAAAAACTAGTATATATATATATATTTCATTGTTCTCCCAAAACAACTTTACGGACTGTTTGGTTAGAGGTAGTTTAGGTGTAGTTGAATTGCAATTCCGCGGAGGCCACAATTATGTTGTTTGGTTGGAGGGAAGTGCAATTCCCTCCAAATGCTAAATTACAATTCCGGACTCCCCCTAGGAATTGTAATTCAGTGTTGAATTGGAAATTGGAAAGACATTTTGTCCCTGACATCTATTATTATTAGTAGTATATGAGGGCATTTCAGTCATTGTATCACTTATTCCCTTTCAATCTTATTTTGCATACGAAACACTGTAATTTGAATTCCTACTTTATTCATACCTTATTCTTTTTCCATCGAATTACAATTCTTTCCACCCTAATTCCTTCATTCCAACCAAACGGCCTGTTAATTTACACAATGTTTGCATAAAAATAATTGCTCACATAGGCCCTGTTTGATAAATGACTGTTAGCTGATTAGTTAATTAAAGGGTATAACTAGTTGATAACATTAGCTTATTGTAGAAATGTGTTTGGTAAATTAACTGTTAACTGGGAGCTGTTTAGTATAATTTCTTTTCTAAAAAAACTAATTAAAGAAATTGTTTTGTGTAGCTTTTTGAATTTTAACATTTTGAAAACAAACATTTATATTAATTTTTAAACCAAATTAAATCAATTAATATTGATTAAATAACTTAAAATTGACCTATAAGCTAACTATTTTACCATACAATGCCATAGACAAATTTGAATAGACACTTGTGGTCAATCTTTAACTATTAAGCCGATAATGTTAATGGATAAAGTAGTGTGCCAAGTGCCAATGTGCCATGGAGTTCCCTCCCCATAAAATAGGCTTTTTTCTTTGGATAACAGAAATAAATATTGATATATTTATTTAATCATAAATAAATTTATCCCATTTTTATCCATATCATCCCAAAAGCTAATTTTAATATATAGTTTAACCAATTGAGAAGGCCATCAATAAATTTTGTAGTTACCAAATTAATTGTTTAATCAATTGGATTACGGTTATCCGAGATTGATTCATACTAAACTTAGAGTGACTGATTTGTATACTTATAACCATATATATCCTTTCGTTGATTAAGATTGGAAAATATCTAAATCTGTCATTAATTTGATTGGTGAATTTTGTAACCAGCGGCTAATGGTATTTTCCCTTATATTTATATATATATATGAAATCTGGGAATCTTCAAACAATCATCGACACGTCGTCAAAACTGCGAGTATACTGTACTAAGAAATAACGTTAGTTGTACTACGATACAATCAAATTAAAGTAGAGACGAGACCGCTGCTGTATTGCAACATATATATAATATAATTATATATATACCAGTAGCAGCACGCCAGGCCAGCGGTTTCCACGTCACGCACTTTTGGTTATAAAAGTAGCATAGACTACGGAATTCTTGAATCATCATCAACTACTATACTCATAATTGAAAGAAAGATATTTTGGGGGGCGGGCATGGAAGCTATAGAGGATATGAGGAACAAAAGGGTAGTGGTGGCAGTTGACGAAGGAGAAGAGAGTATGGAGGCGCTGTCGTGGTGTCTCACCAACCTCCTTACCCAATTTACTTGCGCCACCAGCCTTCTTCTCCTCTATGTCAAACCCCCGCCGCCTGTCTACTCTACACTAGATCCTACAGGTCACCTACTTAATTATTTCAACTTCAATTTATATATGTATATGTGCATGGGATCTGATACTCGATCTGTTTCTACGTCTGTCTTAGGATACTTTTTTGCTGGGGATGATGCCATTGCAGACATGAAGAAATACGGAAGTGAGCTGGCAAACTCAGTCATGAACAAAGCAGAATCAATCTGCAGAAAATTCAATACCAGTGTAAGCTAGCCATATCTCCCTGGCACATGCACGCACGTGCTAAAAAGAAATGAATTAAAGCATATATATATATATATATATACTTGATGATACATACAGATAAAAGTGGAAAAGAAAGTAGGGTGTGGAGAAGCAAAGGATGTGATATGCGCAGCAGTGGAGAATCTTAAAGCAGACATCCTGGTGATGGGAAACCACGACTATGGCTTCTTCAAAAGGGCTTTGGTGGGAAGTGTGAGTGAATACTGTGCCAAGCATGTCAAGTGTCCAGTGGTGGTTGTCAAGACCCCAAAGACGATCATCTCATCAAGATAACGCCGCCGCAGATGACTCATCAGCCAATTAACATATATCATCACGCCGTACTGTACTATACGTAGTGTGTGTTAAATTACTTAGTTCACACTTCATTTATATACATACAGTACCACGCACGTACGCACTATATGAACTATGATCTTAATTAATTATATTGTATTGCTTCTTCTTCCATTTCAATTCCTGTATTATATTATAAACACACATACATACACATATATATATATATCCACCATAATCTTCTATGTATATTATATTGTATATAAGACGACGTCATATCATGATATGATAGATTGATATTTCAAAAAAAGTTTGATGAGAAGATATTTTCACAAGTCATGATAAAAAGATCAAGTTGAGATACCATGAGAAGATAATTATTATATAGGAATAAGGGTCAACACACAAAAATATAATTAAGTCATTAAATTTTAAAAATATGTAATTGGATCCCTGAACAACAAAACATGATGCAATTGAATCAAAAGTGACATATTTACTTGTTAGTTTGTTGGCGTGGATGTTATCATATTAAAATAATAATTTATTTTATTTTATTTTAATAATTTTAAATAACAATTTTTTTTTTTTTTTAAACAAGGGCTTCGTCTCCCGCCGCCTGGAGATGAAGGGACCTCTTCGTCTCCAGGCTGCCGAAGACGAAGTCCTTGTTTTTTTTTTTTTTTTTTTTAATTGTTATTTAAAATTATTAAAATAAAATAAAAAATTACTATTTTAATATAATAACTTCCACGTCTGCAAACTAACAGGTAAACATATCATTTTTGGTTCAATTGCATAATTTTACGTTGTTCAAAGACTCAATTGTATATTTTTTGAGTTCAATGACTTAATTGCACTTTCGTGTGTAATTTGATTACATATTTGACCCTTATTCCTATTATATATATATATATATATATATATATATATATATATATATGAGAGTGGCAAAATAGGAAACTCAAGAGTTTGTGAGATGCCAAAAAGGTCCGAATGAAACAAGTGCAATAATGCAATATAATGAAGAAGATAACGGTATAGAATAGACTACGAATGAAGTGTGAATCGCCCGTTTTCAACTAAATAACTTAAGAATAAAAAACAATTATTAGACAACTCTAGTCAAATTAGTTGTTCTAGTACTTTCAGTGGAAACAGTCTATTGATCTTCTCATTTGAGCTAACTAACTATAGGCAACAATATAATGCGAGGTTTACTCAGTACATATCTTTGGTTGTGGTTGTGGATTTCCTTCTTCACCAAAAAATTACAATTGTTGATGGGTTGGGTTTATCAATTGAAGCCCAAATAAAATTTGTAAAAAATCAGACAAATTATCAAGTCACATTGTAAAGTATTGAATATTCACTTCAATGAGGTTAGAGCGCAGCATACATATATAAAAGAACATCCAAAATGTAGTGTATGTAACAATAATTATACACCAATATAATTGATCAATAAATGGCGGCCTACTTATCAAACTTGAATTATATATGCCTGCCAAGTGCCACCCAATAACTCAAATCTGGCAACCGCAACATCATTATATATATATGCACGCCAAGACACAACATGTGTGTTTCCAGTTTCCACAATATAATAATACAAGAAAATTGAAAGGTTTCTTTTACTACTTTACGTTAGTTTCGGCTACAGATGAATTATATTGCCAATTAAGACAACATTCGAGCGTTACAAAGAAGAGGATGGCTAAGAATCTTTCCACCAAAATGGGGTGGACCATCATCCCCATTATACCACTGCGTACAACTTCTACCCTCCATTCATGAACCCAACTAGTAAACGGCCCACTTATCATTACTCACTCCCCCTTTCTCCTCTTCTTTACCTTCTTTCCGCCCTACATATATATGCATATGTATACTTCAATTCAATAATTCTACTCCGATCCCCACTACAATAATACAAATAATTCATCAAATTACTCTTTTTGCATTCTTATCTTGTTACAATTGCACCAGCCATATATTTTTTTCCCAGCAAATTAAATCTCTGACCTTACAGTTACATTAACAGTCTACTTATCAATGTATTAACTTTACTAGGTTATTTACAAAAGAGTAATTAAAGAGATCAAAATTGTGATTTATTTTATTATTATTGAAATTAAAGTAGGATGGAATTCGAATGGAAGGAGTATATATATATATATATATATATATATATATATATATATATATATATATATAAATGGATGGGAAGATGAGAAAAGATGAAAGGATAAGGTGTGTAAAGAGTGGCACGCATAAACTTAGGGTATGTCACATGTTTTGTTGGAGTGCCTCAATTATAATTTTGAGGAACACAGAAACAGCTACCACTTGTTGTTCCAATAACACTCACATGCATTTTGGCATGGATAGATTGGTACGTAGGATAGGGTAGTGATGCATACTTGATTTTCATTAATCAATATATGCATGTGTTTCTATGTGTGGATGAAATGCAAGCTATAGCTAGCTAAGTTAATGCTTGCCCACCTGGCCTGCCTGTTATAATCACCAATTATTTACATATATATATAATATATAATATTTTATGTAATTCAACAAAATATTTATCATATAGTCTTGATCATTATTATTATTATTTTTTTTAGTTGTTGTGTTTTAATTTGAATGGTAAAAAGGAAAATTTTGAAGGTGTGAAGAAATGCAGAGTCCAACCTTATTAATGAAACATCCTTAATCACACAACGTAAGTACCCTTAGAAAGCAAAACAGTACGAGACTTGTACCTTACGACAAATGATTAATGAAGGGTGGCCTCTTCCTCTTTAACTTTTCCTTAATTCAACAACCTAACCTTTTATACATCTCTCACTGCCCACTGCACGCCTATTTATTTATTTTGATTTACTTAAAAATCAGCATCCGCCTATCTGTATGGATACTTTAGATGAAACTCTTCTTATAACCTTAGTCCACAAAAGATAGGAAAGTCAATGTAAACATCCATCTACCTGTATGGGTGCTTTGAATAGAACTCTTCTCGTAACTTTAGTTGACAAAAAATCAGCATTCGACTACTTAAATTTTTCTTGTTAACCATCTCAAATTATAAAAGTCAATAGGCAATTTCATAAAAAATTGGATTTGTCTATTTGTTTATTTATTTATTTATTTATTTTTCTGCTTTAACTAATCTCTCCTACCTCTTTGCTTTTATTAATGTAATAAATATATGTGTTGTGTATAGTGTATACGTGAATTCATTGCTACCACTGTTTGGTTTATCTAACTCTTTAATTATTGTATGGTCAAACACCCACATCTCAATTTAAAAACATATACAAAAGAAAGATTCATAGATCGAATCTCTCTTGACAAGCTAAGGTAGTTTTTTAATGGTTATATATTTTATTTTTTGAAAGAATGGTTATATATTTTATATATACACAGAGGGGAAGATGGATGGTGCATATATATAATTATAAACTGATGAGTTCCGATTAACCCATCATACAATATGAGACAGTTGGTAAGGATGACGGGATACCATATACTATTTTTAAATTAAGTTATCATATCTTATTTTAACTGGTTCTTCTAACAAGAATCATTTCATTTATAAAGTTCAAATTGATCAAATCAAACACAAAACCCAACTTCTTTTCACCTGAATAAGAATATGTCGGTCTGAATTGATATAATCATATACTATGTTCATCTATCTCAGATCCATACTCATCACATAAGCTATATGCATCAAATATTTTGCTCATCTTTTTTTTTTTTTTATATGACATACAAAATTGGCTTTATTCATATTAGTTACATTGAAATACACAAAAAGATATATTGGCCTGTTTGGTAACATAATTATTTTATCAATCAATTTTAACTTTTTTGATCACTATTAATTGTTTAACTTGATTAAACAATCAATATGAGTATTTGATTAATTAGCTTTTGTAATAACTTATTGCTCCAAAACGCTAAAATTCATAAAACTGTTCAAAGTAACTTTTCCGGTCAGCATTTTTTGAGAAAATCATTTTGCATGTAATCAACAATCAGCAGCTAATTTACCAAACATTTTTCTACAATCAACAAATGCTATCAACTAGTCAAACCTATTAACCCAATCTAATAATTATTTACCAAACACCCCACAATACAAGTAATATTATATATACAACATGCACTATCCAATATATTTATTATATATTTACGTGGGAGACGAAATAACAATGTATGTACTATAATTATGTATTAATAATGTGGTGTCATGCATATAATAGTGTTTTTCTAGCTTTAAGGTAGTTTTTTGTCAAGAATCTTTAACTTTAGTATATTAATAATATAATTCAATAATGGTGTTGGTCCATAAATTGTTGAATTCCCAAGCCAGCTAGGAAAAAAAAAAAGGTGAAAGAGATAGATTCGTGAAGTTACATTTGCTATGGCGTGATAAAGTTGCGTTGTATTGGAAAAGAGAGGGAAAGACCGAAAGATAGAGAGAGCACAAAGAGCAGTTGGGGTAGGGGATGGAGTTAAGCTCCCACATTAATTAATTCTTTATTTTATGAAAATGTATACCGTGCTTATTGAAAATATTATCAATGTAAAATTCATTTTATAACTTTAATCGGTAAAGCATCACAGCACGCTAACAAAATCCGTATTTAGGAACTATCAAAGACCACTAATAAGAGAAATTTGTTGTAACTTAATACCGTTGTAGTACATTAAAGTCATCCAATTTGCACTTATATTCCTTTCATCCTTGTATGACGAATCGATCAAACTAATTTTACGTAAGGGAGCCTTTAATTTACTTTTTTCCTGTCGTCATATCCTTATCAACATTATTATTTACCTTTTAAAAAAAATTCAAAAAATTAGGGATTTGATTTGAAACTCAGAAGGTAGTATTACTATAGGATAACACTTAATATATATGGTATGTAGCACATATTTAGTTCAATTATTTTTAAGATTATCCAAACTTCCTTTTAAACTAATTTTTTTAGTAATTATGTTAGTGTATCTCATACTCTTACCAATATGTCTAATTTGAATTCCTCTTAAATTGTGTCTGCAAAGTTAAACTCTTACCAGATAACCCGTATGCCTCTTACAATAGTCAACTCTACCACCTTTCAGTTATATTATTAGATTACTTACCAACTTCAAATTATATATTAACTTTTAATAATAATAAGTGAAATGATAACCTAAAAGTTGGTATAGTAATATTCATGAAATCCAACAATAAAAACGTAAATTTTATTTATTCATATATTTTTGTAATATGAGGTGTAATTTACTTGGGTGTTATGGCATGCCAGCTATGAAATAAAATGAAGGATTGAGACTCTTATCACATCTAAGGTCAAAGCAGCTGGCACCTTTACATAATATATACTTTCCATTATTAGCTTATTACACCCTCTGGCCTCTTCCCTGTGCCTCTTATTTAGTCTTCTACCTCTCTGTTCTTCTCTCCCCATCACCCACAAACTGGGATCAAGTTTAAGAATGACTGTGGAGCTTTTAAGGATTAATTAATACTCGCGCAACATAGTCAGTCATTCAGTCAGAACTCGGAACAACGATGTCTGAATCTCCCTGTTTCGCCGGCGGTGAGAAGAAGCAGCATTGGTGGCTTACAAACAGGAAGGTAATGGAAGACAGAAGTTTTGGGTTGTTGATTAATTAACCACCGTGTTGTCGTGTTTTCTGTTTTTTTGAATCTTGATGAATAATAGATGGGTCTGTGCAGATTGCCGATAAATATGTGAAGGATGCGAAAGTTCTGATTGCAAGTCAAGACCCCGGCGCCATGGCTTCTGCTCTGAACGTTCTTGATGCCGCGCTGCTTCTCTCGCCTCGACTCGAGTTGGCCATGGAGTTAAAGGCGCGGACTTTGCTTTTTCTCCGGCGGTTTAAGGACGTCGCCGATATGTTGCAGGACTACATTCCCAGTCTTAAAGTAGCCCCGGATGAAGCGTCGCCGTGTTCGTCTTCTTCTGAATCGTCGGATGGCTCCTCCAGGCCGCTGTCTAGGGAGCGTGTGAAGCTTCTCTCCTCCGGGGATGACGAGCCCACTTTCAAGTGTTTCTCGGTCTCCGATTTGAAGAAGAAGGTCATGGCTGGGCTCTGCAAAAGCTGCGAAAAGGACGGTCTATGGAGGTGATTTTCCTTTTTTTTTTTTTTTTTTTTTTTTACTGCCATTCCATTTTGCAAAGATTTATTGAATCCGGATTGTATTTATTACTATTATTACTGTAATATTTCTCAGGCCATTGTGGTATCTGATTGATTTCTTCAGATATTTGGTATTAGGTCAAGCGTGTTGCCATTTGGGGCTAATGGAGGATGCAATGGCCCTTTTGCAGACCGGAAAACGCATTGCCACTGACGCCTCAAGGCGTCAGAGCATTTGTAGGTCCGACGATAGCTTTTCATTCGCCCGATTCCCCATCTCCGGCGTGGACAATAGCAATACCCAGCCCCCCAAAACAGAGTCAGAAAGCATTTCTCAAATGCTCAGCCACATCAAGATGCTCCTCCGCCGTAAAACCTCCGCAATCGCCGCCCTGGACGCCGGGCTTTACCTGGAAGCCATCCGCCACTTCTCCAAGATCGTCGACGGCCGCCGTGGAGCCCCTCAAGGCTTCCTGGCCGAGTGTTACTCGCTGAGAGCCTCCGCCTATCAATCCGCCGGCCGAATAGCCGACGCAATCGCAGATTGTAATCGAACCCTCGCATTAGAACCGTCTTGCATTGAAGCTCTCAGAACAAGAGCAGCTTTGTTCGAGGCTATCCGATGTTTGTCCGACAGCCTTCACGACCTCGAACACCTAAAACTCTTGTACAACACGATGCTACGCGACCGGATATTGCCCGGACCGCTTTGGAAACGTCAGAATGTGCCGTACCGGGAAATCCCCGGAAAACTCTGTTCTTTGGCCACGAAAATTCAAGAACTAAAGCATAGGGTTGCTTCTGGCGAAACTGGAAACGTGGATTATTATGCTTTAATGGGATTAAGGAGGGGTTGTTCAAAATCCGAATTGGAAAGATCCAATTTACTCCTTAATATCAGACACAAACCTGATAAATCCATGAGCTTCGTGGAAAGATGCGAGTTTGAAGACGATCAAGACATTGATTCTGTGAGGGACAGAGCAAAGATGACTGCTCTATTATTGTACAGATTGATTCAAAGAGCTTATACTAGCTTAACAAAGACCATCATTGAAGAAGATGTAGCCGCTGAGAAACAAAAGAAAAAGGCCGCCGCCGCAATGCAAGTAGAACCGGAGATGTCCGGGAACAGTACTATGATCGAGAACAAGGTTACAGCAGCCATCAAAGCATCACAACAATCGCCCGCGTTTCAAGGAGTTTTCTGTCGTGACCTGGCCGTTGTCGGGAGCTTGCTATCTCAGGCCGGGTTCAATCGCCCCATTCCTATGAAATACGAAGCATTGAGCTGCTGAATTCTGATCATCAATGGCGCCCAACAACCAGATCTCAACAAAACCGGCCGGACCAAAATGATTCAATCATTATTACAATTAATAATAATAATAATATTATTAAACAAAAAAGTGGTCTGATCTTTTTGTACAAAATGGTAAGAAAATAATCAAATATGTAGCTAGCTTATTAGCGGCCAAGAAAATTTTGTTACTCTGTTACCCAATATAATCGTCTGTTTATTTGTTCTATTTTCTAGTTACGAAAGTTGTCATTTTCTTGCACCTGACGCCATTAAAAAGAAGTAGCAGGCAATATAGTGTGTGGGCATCATATACATAATGTGATAGATGATGATGATGATGGGCACATTCACAAGACAAGTTATTTTATGTCAGCAGTGAGCAGTAAGGCTTATCCACCATCCACTGCACAACACTTGATTAAGCAACTTTGCCTGTGAACAAGCATGCATGTGATTCGGTATATGTTAAGGAAATTTCGGCTATGACCACTCACAAGAATTCTCATGTTTGCTATCAATATGAAAGAAATCCAATCTACCCCTAGCATAACCTAACATCTTGAAAGATACCATTGTTTAAGTCGGTAGATAAAGTATATCACTTATGTAACTACGTCTCTGAGTTAGTTTTTCTCGTCAAATTTTATAAATCTGACCTAAATTTGATTCAAATTCATCTTACAATGATATAGATATGAATGCCTATGTCAACAAAATATATCATTGTCTACATAAGCAACTCAGTTATTGTGGATAATGACACATGATTGATGTAATAAGTACCAAGCTAAGCACTAATCTTTTATTTAATGAACCATTGAATCATCGTGATTTATCATTTTCACTATTCGATGTGAATTCTGAGATGAAAGAATTTTGCTTTTTGGATAAAAAATATATATCACTATATTTTCAAGCAAGGCAAGTGTGAACAGGGCAATTTGGGTCATCACCCCAAGGGGTGAGACTACAAATATTCTCAAGGGGTTTTTGGCATTTACTGCTTTGAAATTTGAACAAATTTAACTTGGTTTGCGGTCAACTTTGGTTTTATCAATAATCTCCCATTTTTTCTTCTTCTTCTAGGTAAATTCTTTAGGTTTGTGGTCACTTTCGATCTGCTTCTGACCACCAATGCAAGTTGGACCAACCTACAAACCCTAATCTAGAATCTTTGAATAAAATAATAGGAAATTTCAAGCAATTAATCCTAGATTAATTAAGGAATAATACGTGCTACTAATCACCATATCCTGCTTTGATTGCCCCCTTCCAACTCAATATTCTCGAGAAAATTATGATCTTCTACCTAATAAGCATGAACTGTTGTGATCTCATTATCTATATATACCCTTAATTACATCCTTAATGTTTAATTAAACGTAATGGATGACACCCTTACCTTAAGGCATAATGATGATTAAAAAGGACAATAACATGGCCTTATAATTGCAAACCATATTTTGATGCGTGTCAGCAGTGTGCAAATATGGAGAGTGTCACGTGCACCCCATGAATAGTGAATAATATAGTACTGTGATCAGAAATTTTTACTGCGGGAATCAAGTTTATTAAAGATGAGTAGGAGGAGATCGAGGAAAAGTTAATTTGTACGGAGCAAATGTAAATGATACGAAATTAAAGTGAAAAAAAAAATGATTGAACCCTGCAGGCAGTGCAGGGTAAAAAATATCTGCTTCAACCCATCATTATGGTACAGTCATTCTTTTCGTGACTTTGCACCCAACACCTTTTTTACCATCTTTTTTTTTTTTTTTTTTTTTTACCTTTGCACAAAACATGTTTCTGCATTATATGTGCTTTTCAAGTATTCTTCTTCAACCGATAAGTAATCAGATTCTTTGTTATTATATATTTAACTTACCACCGTAAATAGTCATAAAGATGAAAGGTTGAGACCCTAACTCCCCTATCAACCACGATTATAGGGCAGCTCTACTGACCCATTATATTGCATGTCTCCTCATCCATTTCGGTCAGCAACAATGTAGTGTATTCAATCCCAGCTTGAGTTCTACTACATGTACTAAGTAATTTTTTTTTCATGTGAGTCCCAATACAAGTGTCTATATCAAGATTTTGTGTGAAAATATAATAAAAATTAGGAATAAAAGATAAGAATACACATAGCATTTTCCTCCCTACCTAGATCATCCTAACTTCACCATAAAATTATTTCCTGAACTTTTATTTTTACAAGAGTCCGTCGAGATTGTACATATAAAGTGAAGTAAGGTAGTTGGAAAGTACAACTACAAGTGTTTGGGTTAAGAGGATAACGAGTACATAAAATTGAGTTTTTATTTAAATGAACCATAGAAGTATATCTCAACTGATTAATTAATTTAAAATAAGTTTATAAAATTTATTTTGTTAACAGTTACCTTATTGTAAATATTAGTGTATCAGTATTTGGGAGCATATAAACTAGTTGAGATATATCTCGTAATTTATTTCTTCACTATTTTACATGATAAAAACTATATGGTGCTCTTAAGTTAGGGATTCAAAATGGTAAAAGAAATGGGGAGGGGGGTGGGGGGTGGCGTTAGTGGGAGAAAAGTGGAAAACATGTGAGAAGAATAAAGAAAGAAATAAGCTAAGGGAAGGGAAGGGTGCATGCATCGATCTTATAGAAACCCACAGAATGCAAGTAAGGTTTTCCTTTTTCTTTACAATTTGCGAAACTCAATGGGATGACTCTGACAAACTCTAACAATATTCTCTTTTAGCAGTTGCCTTCACCATTACAACATCATATCCCCACTTTCTTTCCCTTTTTTTAATCTATCCCTGCCAGCCCTATTTCATATATATATATATATGATCATATATCATTGGAAACCAAACCAGAACCTATTACTATTACTTTGAAAAGAATTTTTTATTTTCTTGGGGTGGAAGTAAAGGCTTTTTTTTTGAAGTTCTATTGAAGCAGAGTATCCCTCACTTTTTCTTTTCCCCTTAACTTTTCTAATGAATAGTAATATTTCCTACTTTGGATGGATCTTGTAATGGATAATGTGTGATTTTTCGCATGTATTTTATCTCAATTGATAATTAAACTACATATTTACTATTTATATTAAGAATATATATATAATATGTGATGAGCAGGAAGTTGTTATTGTTATGATATAGAAGCTAGATCGAATTGAAAAGATTTGAATTTGAAAATGTAAATGGAAGGAAATTGATAATAAAAGAAAATGGAGGGGGGTATTGGGGAATTAAGGAGTGATGTTTGAATGTTGGGAACATTGGAAAGAGGGCTAAGTCGTGGCCAGATACGATGATGTCAGGAGGAGCATGTGAGGAATTGGAATCCGCATGTGCTCTTTAGTTTTTTTCTTTTCTTTTTTCTCATCATCAGAAGGAGCTGGATTGCTTCATAATCCAACCAAATCTCTCTCATTTTTATTAATTTAAACATTCTTTTTCATTTCAAAATCCAAACCACTATTCAAAGTCAAGCAAACCATTCCATGTACACACTACCTTCCCTCTTGTCCTTTCATGTTTGACCTCCACTCATAACCCACACATTCCTACATTTCAACACTTAACACTTCAAATCTTTTAAATTAGATATCTCAACTTAGATTATGCTTCTGTACCAGTACATTTTACACACAAGAGTCTCAAAAATCAAACCTCCTGTCAAAATCAAGTATTTACCACTCACACCAAAAATTATAGTTAATTATGAATACACAACTTTTTTTTTTTACTTATAAACCACTATCACATTATTCAAGACAAATTAAGTACATGACTTAGCCCTTAAAAACTTTACAGACATCTACTTAACAATCCCACACCCAACAAGTACTAGACATGACCCCTTTATCGACTACGACCAAACTTTTAAGTAATCAATCAAACTAACTGAACTAAATTAATTAATCCCACAAGACAACACTTAATAACTCACACTAGAATGCTTAGCCCACTAGGCTTGATAACCCATGCAGGATGAACATTGAAGTGGAAAAGGAGATATCCAGCAGCTGAGTCGCCAGCCCAGAACGCAAGCTGTTGAGTCCACACCAAATCGCATTATTTCACTAGCGACGTCACCTACTATACTAATGGCTACAAGTTATTGATACATAATAATAATCAATAAAACAAAAAATGTACACCTAGTAAGAGTCAAACTTTGCAACGCTTCCTCTTTGGTTTTTTAGAGCCACTTTGGTTGGGTTTACATTCCGGGCAATGCCAGGCTTCGTTTGGTACATCTTCCAGCGGAGGATTGCAGCAGCCAATATGAATGCCAACACCACACCCGCATATCACCATTGCTTCTCTCGTCGCATCATCAGACCCACAAACTTTACACAATATGTTGTCACTGCTATTATCATCTCCAGATGGTGTCAGGTCTTCAACCTCTTCACAGCGTGTTACAAGTTTCTTTAAAGACTCCTCTGCCCAAGCATGGGTGCTGTACTGAACGTGCTTGTCCAGGGAGTAACCAGGCTTGCAAACATACTCTACCAAGTAATCAGCTGAAACGCAGGGTATTTTGTGTTCCAGAAACTCTTGAACCCACGCATCATTGCGTGGGATTCCGGTAGCCACAATGGCAAAGTCGATATCTGACTTGAGGACACGAGTGTAGGACGGAGAAGTTGCCAATATAGTGCCATCCCCAGCCTTGACAACACGCTTCAAAGTATCCTAATTCATGGAAAACAGATATATTCAGCATATACACATATTTAGCAGAAACTTTCTGGCATACAAAATGAAGCAGAGGGTGAAATAATGAATACATACCAATGATGGCACAAGTAACTCTCCATATACTATAATCCGCATTCCGTAGAATGCACCATGACCAGTTCTCTGCCTTAGGAGCCGCCATTTCCTTGGGGCTTCTAAGCTGATAGCTAAATCTTCAGTCAATCCCTTTCCGTGCCATTCGTATGGTTCCTCTTCCAATAATTTTCCTGCCTCATTGCAAGCAGTTAGATAATCCACCTTCAGGATCCACCTGCAAGGAATGATGAAATAAGACGATAATATCTTAATAGATTTAAGACTACTAGTGCGTGTTGTCACTGTCAATAAGGTGATACCTTCCAGATGCTGCAGCAGCAAAAAACTTTTCAGTCCTGCGAATAGGATCTGGAGCAACAAAATGTGTTGCTTGATATGACCACTGGTGAGAGTCTCTGCAAGATTTCCCCCTCAAACGTTTAATGACCTGCTGGAACTCCTTCCTCTGTAGCCTATGCCCGGAAAATATAAAACACCTAGCCACAGCTTCCACTTGGAGATTAGACTTGCAAGGCTTTTTACATGATCCCAGGGTCATTTTTCCAACTCCCTCTTCCTCAGGGCTTGCATTTAGACCACCTCCGGTAGCTTTTGCATTGCTCACTATTTCATTAGACTTACAAGGCTTTTTATGAGCCATATTTTCAACTCCTTGCCTCTCATCATTCAAGTTTTGCTGCTCTCTGCTAACAGCTGGTATGTTCTCCTTTTCCACTTCCATGTAACTGTTTTCTTTATTTGTATCAGCAAGGTTTACTCCTGCAGGTGTACTAGATGCCGGTCTTTTTTGCTTCCCCACTCCCTTCTTACTTTTTCCATTTATGACTCTCTTTCTTTCAGCACCTTTTCTAGACTCTGTAGATTTCTTAGCAATTGGACTGGCTTTCTTACTAGTACTCAAGGGGGATGTTTTATCTTTTTTCAATTTTACCTCTGTAGCATTCTTCACAGAATCAGTCTGATCAACCATTGTTTTCAGAGCACCATGCCCTGCAGGATGGTTACCAGTATCTGAGTTGTTTTCAGTGATTTGTTCATCTGTCTTGTGGACATTAATTTCCTCTTCCACAAAATTATCTACTGAATGTTGCAATTCAATGTCATTGGATTTGTCTCTATGGACCGCCACATTGAACTCGTCCTCTTTGTCATCTGGAGCTTCGGTCTCATCAAACAGGGGTTCAGTTTGTTCAGCTTCAGATTCTAAAGATCTACTTTTACCAGTCTCTTTGCTACTATCTGCATTATCCATTGCAGGAACATCAACCTTCTCAGAGTTTAATTTTTCATTGCTTTTCATCTCTTCCTCACCAGTTGAATTGACTGTAGTTTTGTTTAGGTAAATAGAACCCTTCTGATTTCTAGCACGCCCTTTACCACTAGTTTGCTTTGAGTTTTCTGTCTTCTTGGAAAGATATCTCTTCCTAAGCATTTTAGACTGCGGGTTGGACTTTCCTCCTTTGGGCAATTCCATGTCAGCTAAATCATCAAATTTTTCAATCTCCATTCTGCTTCCAGGTGATTTTACCTTGATGCCTTGCAGCTCATTTTCTTGCACTTCAACATCAGCACAGCCATCTTTAGAGCTGCCTGGGGAAATAGCTTTACAGCGTGTATTGTGGCTGCTCAGGCAGGTCCTTAACCCCATAGTTTCAGTCAAACCAGTCTCAAGTGCTTCCTTACTGCATTGTTGTAAAGTAGAATCAGGAGTTGCAATTTTGCAGATGTTAACAGGAGAACTATTTGTAGGATCTAAAGCGTTCTTTGCATCAGGACAACAGCCATTATCCCTTGAAGGATGATTACTTGTCTCATGTGCACCATCTCCACTAGGAACAGCCGGTAACACTTCAGTTCCACTTACAATCAAGGCACTATCTCCCCCGGTTCCTTGTGTATGAGTAATCTTTTGCATTTTCGAGCTACTAGATGGAGTGGTCATGATCCTCTTCTCTGGTAATATAGAACTTTGCACATTTCCACAAGATGATGCAACAACCTTATGAGCATCTGCACTGGCAGTATTTAATCCATCTTGTTCAATATTTAATGATGTAAGGCTTTGACCATCATTATGTTTTCCAGCACTGACACTGGGAGGACTTCCTCTGTTGCTTTTCACTTCAGTAACAGGACTGAATTTCCTTAAGCTCTTTCGCGAGTAACTTTTAGGACAAGATTTTGACGCCTCAGGAGGCGATTGCTTGGTAGTAGTGCCAGATGCCAAGACATTATCATTTAATAGAAAGCCAGCAGGTTTCTCACCAAAAGTTGTAATTTCACGAGTGTCTATCATCTCAGGATGCCTATTCTGAATTTGTTCAAAACCAGAGATAGGACTAAGTTTTGATCCCTTTCCAGCTGATAACAATGGTTTAATGCTGCTCTTCTGATCTGATAGCACTTTAGATGCACTTAAATTTAGGTCTCTAGAGAGGTCCTGCTTTAATGAGGATTGCAAAGGAGATTTTGTATTTTGTGGAGAGGTAGCAATATTTGAAGTGGTCAAATTTTGAATTTCCTGCTTCAAAAGGGATTGATGAGAACTTTTTGAATTCTGTGGTGTGGTCACAAGTTTTCTCTCTCCTGCAGGAACGTCTTCCCGTTCTTCTTCAGAATCCTTAGCCTCAGCTTCCATCATCTCCAACTCATATCCACTATGAAGAGCAGCAAAAAGTTGAATATGTCAGCATGTGATTCACTAGCCTTTCATAGAGAAGATAGATCCTATTGAGGTCCAAACAACATAGAGGCCATAATCTCTACAAAATGTCAAGCCCAAATTTCTTTCTTACAAGAAGGGACAATGACAAGAAAGCTGTGTTAGCTCATTTATCTGCCCTACTCAATTTCAAGCATGAGCACAAAAACATACAAATAATATTGCAGGATAACAAGCATTCAAGTGTTTTGTCGCAAAAGTTTTTACTTTTGGCAAAATTCCCAAATTGCAGATACATGCTTCGATATGCAAACATTAGGACCAGCAAGAGATGATCCTTTATTCCTATAAACAGTATCTTTGAAATCCTAAGTCAAATTTTAAAGGAAAATGAAAATTTACATCTCACCTCTGATCATAGCGAGTTTCTGGAAGTAGACTCCAAGACTTTAAACTGCAAAACGAAGTGAAAGACATAGGATGTAAGCTTAGAATTTGGCAAATTTTTATTTTGCATCAAATCTAACAGCTGTTCATAAATCAGCATGCACAGGCAGATTTCTGGAAAAGAGAGAGAGACAGAGACGCACCAATCCTCCAACCACCGATGATTGACAATCTTTATCCGCGACATTCTCTTAGCAAGCTCATATTTCTCCCCTATTAAATGGAATTTGATTCAAAAGATACCTCATGGTGAATTGGTGAGATGATAGTAAATATTCAGGAGGGAAAAAAAAGTAAAGCAAGGACCATCACATAGCTGAAATACTATTGGAGCATGAAATGATGAAAAGTGGAAAGGAAAACGGGAAGTAATTTTTCATAGTTTGATGGGTAAAAAGTTGGGCATGTCATAGCTTGCATTCTTTGTAGGTGTAATGATGGTTTGCCAAGAATTGGGTACTTAAACATAAGCAATCTTTTGTTTTCAAACACCAGCTAACACTTCAGATGATTTGATATTAATCCCACACATTGATGGGAATAATTAGAGAGAGGAAAGCTTACCCTCAAACTTGTAGCATATAAGATGAGTAACCTTGTTTGCTACCAATGGCTTTGAAAAATTTGCACCCATCAACCCTACCATTGTCTGCAAACAAGAAGCAATCAAAGAGTGAGATCACAAAAACAGATCATTAAGACACTATTTTATTATCTTCATCACAATAAACACATGTATAGGAAGTGTTATTTTGTCAAATATTGACGAGGAAGCATGCACAAACCATAATATCATCTCTGTCTTGACGAAGATATCCAGTCAGGCAAATAAGCAGCGACTTGGCACCTGGAATGCCATTCAAATCCTTCAAAGGTCTATACATAACCTGTCATCAACAACAGTACCTTTCAGTTGAAATGCCCTTCAGACAGTAAAGATGTGCAAGAATTGACACAATATGATAGCAATCTACTGCTAATTTAGAACATTAAGCCAACAATGTTTAGCACTCAGCATCATTTACTCGAACATAAAAGCCTTTTGTAATCACACTGATATTGCCATAAAAACTTACAGAAGCCGGATCAACAATCATTCCCACTTCAGAGCTATGATCAACCCACAAGCTATTCACCACCGTTTTCCCGTCCCTTCGAGCAGAAACACACATGGGATCATCCTTTTCCCCACACCACAAAATACCAATTTCAATAATCAGAGTATAGAATAATTCACACCAAGAATCAGCATTAGGCTAACCAATTCAAAATACACTCACATAGACAATCTTGTCAACAATAACATGAGTGCAATCTGGACAATACCGACTGACATCCACTCCACCCCCATCCAATAGCTTCGACCGAACCTGACAACATTCAAAAAAAGAGATAAAAATCGAGATCTTTAGCAACAAAGCCAGGAAATATGAAGTGGGATATTACGAAGGAACTCAAACCTGTTCTTTCTTAACGGGGTCGAAGCCGAATAGAACGAAACGAACGCCTGTAAAAGCTTTGGAGGGGTCGTCGTGCATTATATCCTGTTTGCTACTCTCAGCCATCTGATTCTCACTATCAGTGGCAAATACTAATAGTGAAAGATAAAGAGAAAATTGAGAAAGAAGATACACCGAAAAAGCTGAAACCAAGCAACGCAAATAATTGATTGAAAAAAGACAGAAAATTGGAGCAAAAAAAAGGTCAAAAGCTGGCGCTAATTGGAGGAGTTTCTCAGACTGCTGCAAAACTTCTGGAGGAAGCCGGAGAGAAGAGAGGGGCAAATCCGAAATTAACAAAATAAATGAGGGAAAAATGGAGGGATTTTTCGTGGTTTTTTCGTTTTGATTTTTGTGCGTACTGCGTAGTGGCGGGAGAATTATTTTTTGGATACACGTGTCCAGAATCCAGACTCCACACTTGGACCCTTTGTGGTCGGTCCTATTGGGCCCTCAAATAAAAATGCCGGAACGAGGCCCAATATGATTGTATGGGCAAATTATGTTGTGGACCCGGGTCTAAAATCGTCTCGTTTTGTTTCAAAACAATGCCGTCTGAATTTTTTTTAAAAAATGTTTCCTTCCTTGCCATTTATCTTTAGAATTCGTTTCTTTATATTCACAACTTTTGAATTGAATATTCACAATTTTAGATCTCAATAAATAAAATTACAGAACTTAATATTCACATTTGTAGAACTCTATACTCACACTTGTAGAATTTTATATTCACAATTTTAGATCTCAATATACAAAATTACAGAACTCTATATTTACAATTATATCAACAGTATAACACAATTTTTAAATCTATATTCACAATTTTTGAACTCTATATTCACACACACACACAAAAAAACATGGCTGCGCCGCGAGAAAACGGTAACACTAATAGCAGTTATTCTAGATGCGCAAAGCTATGTTGTTTTGGACTTGAGTCCACCTTACAAGGTGGATCGGGCCCATGGCATAACAATTGGATTGTATGACTCATGTTATGGTTGAATGCAAATGTAAGACGGATTTTACGAGGATTATCCAGTTGTTAGACACGTGGAATCATGAAATGTCTTGTACGGCATGAATGAGAAATTTGATGTAATGGCTTATATTGGTTTCGTGGACTACCGAAGCAAAAAAGCAAAATAACTAATTGTAAACGACGGAGCTATCGTGGATTGCGTGCAAGGATCATCCATTTGGCCGTTAGCACCAACGCCAACGGAACCTTAGCTTAGCGTAAGCCAGGAAACGGTACGTCACGTCGTTATAACACACATTATTGACATTAATAATCCGCCTCTACGTAACATACTTTCAAGTTTCAAAACTTCAAAATATTTAACTATAACTATATTTTTAGGACACAGTAATTGTAGTTCCTTGAAACTAATTCCACATTTTTTTTTACATTTATAAGTTTCTTTCATTTACATATATGACTCTGTTCATAGTTGATTAGTTCAAATTTACGAATATATCTGTGTTCATAGTTAATTAGCTTAAATCAATAAAAAGACCAATAAGAGTAGAGCTCCCACGAGGACAACTTGGTTTCAATATATAGGTATGCATCAATGCATGCATGTGAGATTTAGGCAGTTCCCTGCCCAATTTTGGCACTTGGCAATTACAATGTTCTGTTTTTTTTCCCCTTTAATCTAATCTTTGATCTATTGTCTAAATCTATAATTATCTGGCAATTCTAAACACCAGGGGGACATAAGATTCCTGTGCAATCAATCAAATGAATAAAGAATCATCTAACCATTTCTAGATCGATCACAGCAGCATATATGCTTGTGTGCTAAAATCAACGAAAGATAATAACATTGAATGCTCTGAGCATCAACAGGGGTGCAGGGAGCAAGAACATGAGAAACAAATGCATGTGCTGGGCTGCAACTACTGTAAATCGCTTCAGAGATTCTTTCCCGCTGTGAAACATTCCAGCGAAAGTGAATTGGCCTTGGCCAGTGGGGCGTACCAATCTCCCAACGAAAATGTCAGCAGCTTTAACTCCAGGAATCACGATCAGCGGCCACCATGATTCCCTCTTTGATTTTCTGATGCGGCTGAGCTCTACATGAATGATGTGTCGGACAGATTTCAAGTATGATTTCATGTCGTGGTCTCTTTGTATGGTTCCTCCCGAGCCATATGCTGAGCGGTCGCTCAGGATCTCGAGAGGATGTGGGGAGTTTAGGAACGCGGTCTTTGCAGCTAGGATTCGTTTCTCTGCATCATCGTCATCTGTCACGGGGGGACGACTTAATAAATACAGTCCAGCCCCGGGGGGAAGCAAGTGATGGCTTGGAGAAAACTTTTCATGCGGCTGCAGAATCACGAGGTCTCCCATATGAGCATATAACAGCTTCTTTTGGGGACAACAAAATAATAAATCACATTAGTCTAAACAAAAATGACTGACAAAAACATAGACAAAATTGAAGCATGTGCTCCATCTCAACTAAAAGCCTAAGCTAATAGTTGGATTGTACATTAATGGCTATATGCTCACCCATGACCTTTGGTCTGGTTCTGATACCAAATTGAAGCATGTGCTCCATCTCAACTAAAAGCCTAAGCTAATAGTTGGATTGTACATTAATGGCTATATGCTCACCCATGACCTTTGGTCTGGTTCTGATACCAAATTGAAGCATGTGCTCCATCTCAACTAAAAGCCTAAGCTAATAGTTGGATTGCACATTAATGGCTATATGCTCAACAGACAAGAACAAAAAAAAAAAAAAAAAACATTTCTACCTGGTTATTTAGACATGGATGGTTACGGAAGCTTCCATTCACGGCTTTGAGAAATTCTGCCACGTGATTGGGATAAGTGCAAGAGAAGGCTCGGGGTACAATATCTCGGTGCAATGTGATTGACTGGACATGGCTTCGAGGCAATCCAAGCTTCTGGAGGAGGCGGTCTCCTCCACACATAATTGTGGGTGAACCAAAAGTTATGACGGGGAGTAAAGAAGAAGGCGGAGCTTCTCCTCTTGTTAGTAACATGAGGTTTACAAGTAAAGATAAGCTTCCTCCGAGGGAATGTCCAGTGAAACGAAACAAGGCACGATCACCGTAGGATTTAAGGTGCCCTAAAACTTCTGGCAACATCTGCTCATACATGCCTTTGGCAGCCTCATATATACCTCTGTGCACAAGCACATCCATACCCTAAAAACATAGATGCATTAAAGTGGAGTTGGAGAATTTCGAGATCGAGCTCTCAAGAGCCATAAGAACAGACTGGGAATAACTACTACCTCAAACTGAGTTGGTTCGAAAAGAAGATTAGCTTGCCAAGATGCTAATGACTCCGATCCCTGAATGATAAAGAATCTCGTCGCGCTTTGATCATCATCACAAACAAACCATTCACATGGCGACAACCGTGTTGAGTTCAGATCATCTGCAACGGCCTGCTTTACTTCTTCCTTTGCAGCAACTACTGCCGTCACTGAGTCAGTGGTGGCCATTAGCGAAGCAACTTCCCCATTCCTCAAATCTCCATTGTCATCCCTTCCAATCCTTCTTCTCCTCGGTGTACCATTCACCGCTACCAGACGAGAACTAAACGGTAGAATGGTCTTTGTATGAGAAAGCAAATACGAAGCTGCAGAAGCCGCTATCTTGTAAGCAACAGATGCACTTATACCAATCCCATTTGTCCTATCCCCCTCAAGTTCTTTCACATTCCCTGCTGCATTCATATCTCCTTCCTTAGCTTCATCAGCAACTTCATTCCCTTTTTTCATTTGCCCTTGAGCCAATATTTCTTTCTCAGCTTTCAAGGCCTGTTTTTTCTTCTCTAAAGATGAAGTCACAAACCGCAATCCATGAAATCTTAAAAGATTTCTTGGCTGTACCCACCATCATAACAAGTGTTCAGGAACTCTATTCATGTGATTGCTAAGTATATTGAAATGGACTGATAAAATAAAATAAAATGTTCTTCTCTAACATGACACGAGACATAAATTAAAAAGAATGTAAAGGTGTTAACTTTAGCAGTGAATCAAAGAATTACTTATGCATATCGATTTAGCAGATGAAAACGCAAATTCCCAGAATGGGGAGAAATGCATTACCTTGATTTGGGGTATGGAATAGGCTAAATTTCCCAAATAAGACAATCGCGCATACAATTTAGCTTCTTTTAATGAAACACGGCATAGCAGCTTCGAGAATGAATCCCTGTCGAACTCTATTTTGTCGTCGTCGTCATCAACGGCACATACATCGGACTCTTCACCGGCATCACTAATTCGGCCTTCAATTTTCGCAGCCTCGGAGTTCCCAAGTCCACAGCTTTTATGGCCTCCATTGCGCAGAGATCGCACGCGGAGTATCTTCATAACCCAACTATCTTTCTGTTCCGCCGCCCTCCGTTTCACGTTTTCGTCGATCAAAACGACGTCGTCGCCGGCCATGACAACGCACCGCCTTCTACCACCGGGCCACCGATATGTACGGAAAGACAACCGCCGAGGGGAAATCCTCTGCGGGATCGACAGTGACGGCTTCTCCACTGAAACCACCGCACAAGACCGCCCAACGGATGAAGCATTAACGTGCGAGGGAAGGGTGGCACGGACATCCAACGCAGCGCCGCCGCCGCCGCCGCCCACCCCTGCCTTCAAACAAAGAGTGTCCATCTGGTTGGCGTTGGAGGGTGGTGGGGACCCAGACCGAGCCCGGCCAGAGTGGGCTGTGTACTTGTGTAGAACGCGGAGCTCTTAGGTTGTACACCAATGTTTGAATTCCTTAGTACTATCGATTGACTTTGTAGAAGGATCACAAGAGAGGATGAAAGAAAGAACGAAAGCTTCTGTTATAACGACACACAAACACAAGTTCGGTTGCTTCTGCGTTTATAACTAAACGGAAACGGTTTACCAACCTTTCACACACTTTCTCTCCCATATTTTTACGCTCATGACTCATGAGTTTCCACTTTTTCTGTTCCTCCTCGCAATCCGGAAAATCCTACACTCCAAACTTCTTTTTTTTTTTTTTCTTTTTCCCCCAAAATTTTAATGGGAGACACTTCGTTAGATCCAATACCAAGTCAGGTCAGAAGCTTTTATAATAAGGATCCTTTATGTTTGACTCTCCATAAAAATTATCTATTGAAATTGTATATTAATATGATTTATTTCGTTTGTGATTCTTTACTGACTATAATTATAAAATAAGCTTTATTCAAAATACATATGCAAATAATGATTACTGAATTTTATATAAATCAAATAAAGTGTAATCTTGTAATTAAAGTACTTGAACACATAGCATTAAATAATTACGCAAGTGTTTGATATACGAGATATTAGGTTTATATTTTATCAATATACGTGAATATTGCTTAACATACACAATTAATTATTGGTACTATCTCACCATTTTAATTATCAATGTGTTAAACACATGGTTTGAGGTTTATATATTAAAAAAAAAAAAAACCATCAAATTAGTTATGAGTTATAAAATTATACTTCGTACCCTATTTTATAAAGAGTGATTATATTATATAGTAATTCAACTAGTTCAGTTACTTATTTACTTAAATAATGTGCATAGTACATCAAGCACATGAACCAATATTTTGAATGACTAGCTCAACTTGTGGTAGCAAGGAAATTTGTCCGAATAATTACTATTCGTCAAAAATTATACTGGAAACTGTTGCGCTTAGCTAGTTCGTGCAGTGACGCATCAGCTAGGCCCGTAAATATGCTATTTTTTATTTTTAACTTTTGATTGTCAAGTTTTATTTTTCTTTGCTTTGCTCCTCCCCTCTCTTTTACGTTGGTATGACAAAAATTTCATAAAATTCTCAGCTAATAAGGATGCTTTCAGTAATAAGAAGCATTAATTATGTTTCTCTATCTTAAGTAATGGAAAGCTTTTATTTTTCAGTAAGAGTAGTTGGTAAGCTAGAATAAGCTGCATTTTGGGATGGCATTTAAAGTTGAGTAAATGGTGTTTGCAGAATTATTAGAAAAAAGTCCAGCCTGTCTTGGAACTCTGAAAGTGATAGAAGAGGGTATATCAACCCACCCATGTCGTATCCCGGACTCGATTCGGGTCGGGTCGTTCAATTCTCAGGTATTTACTACTGCCGATTCACTCGTCCCTTAGCTCCCGCCATAGCTAAATGAAGTCGAGACTTGCAGCTTCAATATCATTCCTGCCTGGTTGGTTCATCGCTGTTTCTCAACACGCTTCTTAAACCCTAGTCCTTCCGAAATTCGCTTCCTTCTCTAAAAGGTTTATCGTTCTGTATCGCAGGTGCTCGTTCAAATAACATTTGCAGAACATGGAAAGCGTTTAACTTTGGGTAAGATTCTCTTGGATTATCTGCAAATTGCTTGTTGTTTGCTCTTTTGTGCCTGGAAATTTTGAAGGTTATATTTGGTAAGGCACAAGTTGTTTTGTTGTGCATTGTTCCTGATAACTCTTCCAGTACCAATGAAGAACTAGTAACCGAAAGTTTGATGGAGAAGGGGCAGAGAGATTGATCATACCATAGAAAGTAGAACATTTTATCAATTTGTTATTGACAAAAAAAAAAAAAAAAAAAGAAGATTAAACAACTAATTTAGTATTCCCGGATTGTCTACTGTCCTCAGAGATCATCCATGTCTACTGTCCTCAGATTTAGTAATGAGTTTTTCTCATATGCGATGATTTGTATGTGTCATATTTGATTTGATTATATTGCTTGTGTCTTAAGATTGACCAGTATACAACATGGGAGCTCAAATGGCTCGATACACAGCTCCTCGATGGAAGATGACAGCTTTGCAGAATTGGGTCCTCCGGTGACTGAAAGAGCCGTTTCACAACTGAAATTGGCAACAGAGAAACCCGAACATTTCATAGTAAGTCACATTGACTAATGGTTTGCTATGGGCTTATGGCTATTAAGGTTATTTCTATAATTGAATGACTCTGTAATATTGTGGGTGCCATGTGTCTCATTTTATTGTTATATGGTTAGAAAGTAAAGTCAAGCTCTTTTGTGGCAGTGGAAAAATAAATCTGCAAGAAAAATGTCATCCAAAAATGAAGACAAGAACCACAAAAAGGGAACTGTCTCAAGTCGCGAGAAATCCTGTCAAAGCATAGCTGAGCCTGTGGATGCTTCCAATGCAAGTAGTTCAACTGACACAATTAGAATCCAAGGCATCGATGACCATGCATCCATTCATGACATACATTCACTCTGCAAAACGCTTGGCAATTTAGATGGATTGGAATGGGTAGGCAACGATGCTATAGATGCATTCTTTACTGTGGCAAGTGAATCCGACTCTCAAAGAATACTCGAGAAGTAAGTGCAATACTTCTCTGTTTGGTGTTATCTTATAACCTTGCCATCTTCATTTTCTTTTCATTTGGCTATTATTCAAGATTGTACTTACATTTTCCCCTGATTTTAGGTTGAATGATACAACTATTGGCAACAGCCACTTATCGGCATCTTTACTTTCAAGCAACTCTACTGCGTCCAAGTCCATAAAAGAGATTGCTTTGCAGGAGAGAGGTCTACAATTTAGCACTAGCATTGATGAACTCAGAAGGCAAATGGACTTGAAGCGGATTTACTTGGAGGATTTAGAGATGCTGCATCACGGGATAATGCACCTTCAATGTTTGCCAACTATGAGCGATTAACGTTTGTTACATCCACTCACAAACTTCCTTCCACCTCCTTCAAGGGCAAAAGTTGGTGGTTCATGATTTTGATATAAAGCATTGCAGATTTGCAGGGTAATTGATAAAGACCAACATGGGTTCTTGTGTTTATGGAACTAGCACAACTTGAATGGTGTCATGACCACATGAACTATTTAATATTTTGCAAAGATGAATTGTCAGTTTAGGAACATCTTTCAGCGTATATGATTTTACTTTTTAATTGCCATGCCACAAATCATGGTAACAAATGACTAAGAAGAACTGATCAATTAGACCCAGTAAATTAAATTTTACAAACACAAACTGTTAATCAGGGAGATTTATCGCCTTTCACGTGCATATTCAACAACCTGGAACGTTTATCCCGATTTTCAGATTCTGATGCTCTGAACGAGGAGCACTCTGCAATCTGATAATCGCTCTCATCAATTAAGGATTTCATGTACAAACAAGGACGATCTTCAGTTTCCAAGCCGTGCTCGTGATCATGGCCTTGACTAAGTGACAAATCAAACGGTGTTGGTACATGAGGTTGGGTTTTCATCTGCTGCACGGATCTCACAGACCGCAAAAGCGCTGCCCTCCTCAAGTCGGCTGAATGGCATATGTCACTGGGTGATGATGGGAACCGACCCTCAGAATCTGAGCCTCGTTGACGAGCCTGAGATGTGACAGGAGTTAAGTTGCAGGTAAGCGCTGGGCTTGAAGTGGTTTGGGGGACTGATGAGAGCCCACTCAAAGTTCTCTGGTGCCTGTAAGGAGACACAGGGCTGGTTGGAGTGCTCTCGGGCTGAGACGAACAAACATGCATGGAAACATCATAGCTTGGCAAGTCATCCAAATCTTCTGACATCGGTGAATATTGTAGAGAGATATCATCCCTGGAATCACATAGGTAATACAAAAGGAGATGCTTGTCATCAAACAAAGAGGTTTCACTTAATCAACAATCATTTATAATAAAAAACATTATAAGAGTTACTGCTCAGGTAATCCAACACAATGCAATATTTCATTCAGCAGTAATAGACAGGGTCCAAAAAACAGATGATTAAAACCAAATACGTAACTTCTGAGCTGCTCCCATCTGCAGGTTAACGAAACCTGTGGCTCAGTAAAAAAAAAAACACTTAACCTAAAATAACGAACAAGCTAAAATTCTAAAAAAGTGACAAAATACTGGTGGCTATGCACTCACAGTACCTCTGATCTTGCTGCTGTTTAATGCATACAATAAAATAGTTACACAGGGCAAAGTGAACACAAACATTTAGCTGTTAGTCCAAAATAGATTACCTAATATAGCACATGCTTTCAGACCTTGGAGAATCAACAAGACTATCAGTTAAGTTATCTCCAACAGACAGCCCGTTTAAACTTGAAGCCATTATCTGCAAAAAGAAAAAAGAGTAAATTCTACTATCTGCTTAGGGATAATTTACCCTCTCCCTGAACTTTTTGTATCGACATGCTACTATATTACCTCCTTGATCAGTGGTCAGTGATTTGATCCGAAAAAGCTACTAGAATAAGAAAAATCCAATTGACACGAACAAAAAGAAAAATAGAACAATAATCAAATTGCAATTCGTCAAGCAAGATTAAGGATTAGAACATCTCCATTGGCCGCTCAATAGAATATAGGGCAGCATAACACACTACATGAACATGCTGAATATAACCAGCTTGATGCACGGGTCACATTTTCCCTCCATCTTTAATACCACTCGGTGTTTCCACTCAACCTCTCCCTTTTGTCTTCTGAGAAATTAATATAGTTTGTAACGTACTCATTCTTTTCCTTCTAATTCTTCTCCCTGCGTAATTTTGCAATGACTGGCATCATTATATAGTTGACAGAAAATTCTCAGCAGCTGCTCCTTGGTATAGCTAAAGACTAAGTTTGAAGGTTTATACGATAAGATTCCTAGAAATGTTTCCGTTCTATAGAAAGAATCTTGTAGGAAGTTATCTATCTAGATTGGGTCATTACAACATCTTTCCATTGGTATATACTTATCTAATATTAGGGCTGTAATCTTGCAGAAAATTGGACTTGTATCAGAAAGCTGACGAAGGGATAAGTATTCTTGTCACTTTTAGCATAGCAATATATGAATTCCAGCGTTTCTGTAACACTAAAAATCACTAAGCAGCTTATGATCGAATCATGAATGCAATTCTAGTTTCTTAGCTAAAAACAGAAAGGCTTATTTGAGCTTTCATAATCACAGAAAAGAAAATGAAATATCAGCAAAAGCAGAAAATATAAATGTAAGATGAAAATAGGTTAGAGAGGGAGAAAAAGGAGAAGGTACCTCACTAAGATAACGCTTGTGAGAGTGGAGATTGTCAATATAAACCTCATCTTCGGGGTCTCTACTTCGCTTGGCGCTGGGCGTAGATGACGTGGACGCTGCCGCCGATGAAGACGACGCCGGCGAGAAGTTGGTTTCCGAACCCATTGAGCAACTCCGTCAATTCATTTTCAAGCTCGACAATACCGTAATTCGCTGAAGAAAGCGATGCAAAGTGTTTAAAGCTAAACCGTCTTGTCGTAAATCGAATCTGCTAAGAAAAAGTTGGATCCTCATCCACTCATCCACCACGAAAAGCACGAAAGCAACTCGCCGGGAACTCCTCCGACATTTAAGTCCAGCATGATTCAGCCCACCTTATTTTGGGTTGGGCCTTTCAACATCTTTGAATTTGTTACCTATTGGGTCATTATGGTTTGATCTTTTTTTTTTTTTTGGAGAGTGTTATGGTTTGATGTAATCATTCAATGCATTTGAGCCATTCAATCAATGTCGGTATATCACAAGGTAAATCATCGCAGTCAAATGTTAAAATTATCTAGATTCAGGTCCTCCAAAAGTACGTTTCATTTTAACATCAGTTTCAATCTATTAGTTGTCATGTACATGTATCTTGCATGGATTAAATTCCCTTTATATTATATAAATATTCCATCTTTGTATTTAAAATGGATTTTCGATCATTTCAAATACTTTCTAATGTCCCCCACAATATACTCAAAAACAACATGGCCACTCCGGTAGTATATGGAGTATAATATTGAGTCGAATTAAAGCTCAGTGTTGGGAGAAAGGCTTTGGTAAAAATAATTAAACAATTTTGACTTATTTAATCATTATTAATTGTTTAATTTGGTTAAACAAGCAATATGAGTGTTTGATTAATTAACTTTTCGTAACAACTTATTGCTTCAAAATGTTAAAATTAAAAAAACTACTCAAAGTAGCTTTTTCATCAATTTTTTAAGAAAGTCATTTGGTATATAATAAACTAACAACCAACAACTAATTTATAAACTATTTTTTATCTAATTTTATAAACTAGTCAAATTCAGTAACCCAATCAACTATTCATCAATTCCTAAACACCCAAATAGTATTAACAACCGAATGAAACGAAAGGTGGTGATAGATTTACGAAGTTGACCGGTCAAAAGGGTCTGGTATATGCAAAGGTTGTGTGCATTGGTTTCCTAGGCCTAGGCGTACGTATAAATACAGCGACAAGTCATGCAATTTTCCCCGATTCAAGCCGCTGTTCCTCAAATCGCCCTGCAAGCTGCGGGGGATTTGAGACATAATTCAACGGAACAAAACCAAATTCGATCCCCAAAACCAAGCATATGAAGGAAGAAGATAACGTGTTTTCAACCGCGGACGCAATGGTGGAATACAAAACTCATTCCGCCCCTCCCACGCCCCTTCACGACAAGGGGTTGACGAAGAAGAAACGCACTAGGTCGTTCAGTCTCCTCAAAGCTGCGCTCAACATTTTCCACGATAAACCCAGCGAGAAGGAGGAGAATAAGAAACCGAAGAAGAAGAGCAACGATTGGAAGAGGGTGGTGGAGTCAATGCGGCCATTAACACTGCAAGACAAATCTCCCTCTCCCTCGCCCTCGGTTCCGAGGTCGCCGTCGTCTTCCTTCGAGAATCTAACGTTGTATGGGACGGTCCCTGTCTCTCCCTCGGTTTCCTCCGTCTCCTCCCGCAGCGGCATGAGCCAGTACGCCTCCGCACCCAATCTCCAGGCACTGGACACCGGATCTGATGATCCCGACGAGGTTTTTGACGCCATCGGAGGCGATGAGATGATCGACGTCAAAGCTGAAGAATTCATTACTCAATTCTACAAACAAATGAAGCTTCAAGCAATTCAAGAATTTTGAATCATTAGCCACAGCCCAAAACATGCATCATAATCGGTTTTTGATACTCTCCATCTGTTTAGTTTAACCAGGAGGAGGTACTATACGTCAATTTTCTCCACAATGGAGTTGTTTCCTTGTAGTAGTTTGTTCTTCCCAAACTGTACTCATCATGTATGATTTGATTTGTAACTGGTTGTTTGAATTGCCACAATATAATGAAACAAACGAACAAGATATTATAATGAATTGATCGGATCGAAGTCATCTGAACATGTGAATCAGCCATTTTATAGCAAAAGGCAATCAGAAAAGCAATTTATGGAAGGAACAGGTACTACCTATCTACTGCATGTGATTATAACAACAACAAATGAACAATGATGATAAGATTTGAAGTGGGAGTAGTGTAGGGTAGGTAGCTAGTAGCCATGGATGATTTCGGAGCATTTGTTCTTAATCCACCTTAGCCCGTTCCTGATAGAAGCCTTCATCCGCCCTTCAATCGTGTACACCTTGTACTTGGCTATCCGCTTCCGTCTCTTCATCTCCGGATCGTTGAAACTCCAGGGCATCGATGTCGCCGTCACCACACTCCGCCGCGGCGGAACCGGCGCCAGATCCGGAGAACGGATCCGATTCGCTCCGTACACCTGATTAACGCTGCCGAAGCTCCTCCCGCTCACGACTTCCAGTCTGAAATCGCCGGCGCTGCTCCGGAAACTCGGCCTGTATTCCTCCATGCCCAGCTCGATCTTCTAAAACTAAAAAAATAATGCTAGAAACGGCGGAGAACGAGGCGCAGAGCATATAAGGGAAAGTTGTTAGCCACTACCAGAATTTATTCAAAAAGAAAGTGAAAGAGAATGATAGAAAATGCTAGTTAGGAGGCAACCTGGTCAGAAGAGGCAGACAATTAGCTGTAAGGGTTGTGACTAGTGATGCTGTTTTTATTTTTCAAGACTAGCCAGAGATTCTTCAACTCTATGTGTGGTCTCAGTACTCGATGCCACTTTTTATTATTATTATTATAAAAGGCAACATATGATGATAATCATAATAATGTTGGCCTCCGATCTACTTTTACCATTCTTTTGAAATTTTTAGCATCTCATACCAAGCAAAGATAATTAATTGACCAATTGAGTTATATCACGAGAAGAGAACACATAAAAACAAAAGAGAGCCTGTGTAGCTTGTTGCAGTCTTCAAAAATTTAAAATTTACATTTAATAGGTTGATCTAAAATTACAAACTTATGCCACTTGATTATAAGGTGTTTGGTGGGCAATTTAAAATCATAAAACTACAACATAAGCTTATGGCAGAATGATGTAGACATTTCAAATGTCTACAGATACACATTGCTACAAAGGAGCCAGAAGACAACATGAGAATGTTGTGTACCTTGAAACGCCGCTTTGGACACCTTATTATTGCATCCAAAAACATGACCACTTTCTGCTTCTTGTTTGGCTCAGATGGAGAGGGAGAGGTGGTATACAGCGGAGGAAAACCAGTGCTTCCATTACAACTTAATATACAGCTTTTTCATGTGCAGGAATCCGGCTACAATGCCCCAAAACAGTATCTCTAGCAATACAAATGTCAGGGTACCCCACTTCTCTGAATGTAACATTCCTTGCAATAGCCTCTCTGAGCCATCAACCTATGACCCATTTATCTATGGTTACATACACACATACATACATACATATTGTCTTTAAACAAAGAAAACAGAAAAACAAGAAACCCACCAGATTGTTTTCAGTTGAACGCCAATAGAGACCTTGGAGAGCTGCAGGAAAGATGTCACAGGCAGCTAAAGCATAGACGATAAGAGCATTCATTCCCATCCATTGAAATATAATCATTGGTTTCCTCAAACAAATTACGTCAACCTGCAACATATAGTTAACCTTTTCTTTATTGACCTATTTCAACACAAACCTACATTCAGGACGCCTTGGCCTAGCACTATTGTTTTCCTTAATTTCAAGCTTGGATGAAAGGAATGAGTTAAAATATATAAGTGTACACTCACAATGTAATATATGATGGTAAAAGCAATGGCTGAAGCTCCAGCGGTGGTGAACATATAGCTCAATGTATAGAGTGGTTTAGAAAGAGGAATCCCTGAAAGAACAAAACTTCAGGCATTGTTTTATTACAAAATTTTAATTCATAGATACGAATGCATGTGAAATACAAGCAACATTACCTACAACCACCAGAACAAGTCCAACAATCAGTAGTGGGAAGGAGAATATGGACCAAAATATTATCCTTTGCTTGTGACCCTACATCAAAAGAACAGATACGTGGGATAAAAAAGATGAAGAAAATAACGATAGGATTTAATTTAAGTTTTCAAATCAGCCAAATAGCAGCAGAGTGCATCTTACCTTAACCTGAACAAGAATGTGCCCATAATGTAATCCAACAAGGCATGTTATGGCAGCCATTAAAGAACTGAAAGTTTTCAATTAAAATGAAGAAGAGGAAAACATTTGGATTAAGAATGGAGAAAAAGGGAAAAGGAGCACTCAAAGTTGAATTACGGTCAAAATTAATCTTGCTCACAGCTTATGCCAGTAAAAGTAGGACAAAACTAAACTCTAAAATTGCAATTGCATAAGGGCTAAGGCTAAACTAAACTTTAAACAATTTAAAATAAAAATAAAGGAAGAGGGAGAGGGATAGAGAGAGCAGAACAGCATAACAAAATTTTATCTAAACTGCAAGGAATGATATAAGAGGATATATCCAACCTCAAAATACCCTCAGGGTCAAATGGAGCAAGACACCACCCAGGTGCATTTTCAGGCAAAGGTCCATAATCAGGGGAATTGATACTGCATTCCTACTAAAATAAACTGGATTAGCAAAAATGTAATGATAAAACTGCAGGAGTTCAAGATTCCAGCAAAGCAAAAGCAGCACCAAAGAAAAAAGTTGACCAACCTTGGTTCTTTTGTAGACAGGGCGTTGATAGAGATGACTTTCACCAAGAATAAGTCGATCAATGAAGCCAACTGCATTGCACGGAGGATCAAGACTTCCCCTCACATTACAATGAACCTGGTAAGAAATATGCTGGGCTTGAGTAAGATAAAAAATCATATCCATCTCTTTCAAATTACTATGTGTTTTAGTAGATCTTTCACGTTTGGTTGAAAGACAACCTTAACTTAGCAAAGCTCAACCATCAAAAGATAGATAAATGATTTGCATGTCAGCATAACTACAATGATAATGCCAATAATTGGTGCTTGAATTCTTCTATTTACTGCACCAATCAATACTATCAACGAATAGTAATTATCACTGTTTGAGTACTATATCCATATTAATTGACTGTGCCCATCAATACTATTATCAACAAATAGCAATTGCCAGAATGATGAAGCTTCAGAAAGCCTTTAACTCACAGTTTGTGTAGTAGATCCATATTGTGGTACTACTGAGCTGTTGCTGGCAGTATCTACTTTAAATTCCCAGTCTGGAACATAAAGGCCATATAGTAAACCCATGTATAAGACACTAAGTGACACTGCAACCAGCCTGTGAAATGAAGACCTGATTAAGAATTGATTGTTATTTGAGATCCTGAAACATATTAATACTGCCTTCCCAGAGTCGCATCTAACCACCTTCTTTAATCAAGTGAGATTTAGAAAGGGAATCAGGGTAATAAGAATGGATACTTTGTCAATATCAACCAGATAATATGCAAACCAAACAATGGCATCAATCTGAGAAATTAAAAACTGAACAAGAAGAAGTCATGCCCCACTTTAAACCAAAGAGAATGCTTACGCCTGAAGCCAGTATCTCCTCACAAATTTCATTGCTGAATCAGCAGAGATGTTGTTAACAAGCCAAATCTCCAAAATTGACGAGAAAAGATATCCAATTGAAATCCTCTATAGCAAAGAATTGGAAACACGGAGAACATTAATAAAGTAAATAAATAAAGAAAAGCAAAGATTTAATATTTTCATCAGTGCTTAATTTAAGTTCCAGTTGTGCTAGAGTACCTGTAACACGCCCATCCATCTAATCTTCTTTATATCAACTCCATAACTTAGATCACCACGCCCATGAAAATACCCACCTAACCACATACAACCATAAATGTTTATTATGTAGTTATAACCAGAAAAATAAATGTGGGTTTGGTGATGCATACCTTGAAGAATGACTCCCAATATAAAAAGCTTAACCATCCTGAGCAAAACTTTCTTCGTTGCTGCTGGTTTGCTGGGAACTTTCTGCACCAGATAGGGTAGTCTCATCACTATCAGAGTATAATAGCAGTAAACAGAGACCAAAGATCTAGCATCTCAAAAAATGGCACTAACAACAATTATTTCTCTGGACTCAAAGGAACAGTAGCTAATGAAAATCAGTGATACCAGTAACAGCCATGAATAGCAATCATACCGCATACAACATTTAAAAGAAGTAGGGGCCTGAATAGGTGGGGAAATTTTATCAGTCAAAAAATGTACCTTGAACACAAGACTCACTGAAACACCAACAACAAAGAGGAAAAATGGCATCACGAAGTCCGCAAGTGTCACTCCAAACCAAGGAGAATGATTTATACTCGGAAAAGCTTTTCCAGCGTCATCAACCAAAATCATCAGCTAACGAATCACCGCATAATATAAAAATCAAAATTAAAACACACGAGTGTCAAATTCAGAAACGGCGCTAAGAGAGGATCACTACAATTGATCTCCTTCACATGAAAATACCAAAAATGAACAAAAACGAAAAAATATATACATATATAAGGTTCAGAGGGGACTTACAGCAACAGTGAGGCCTCTAAAGACATCGAGAGAGACTAGGCGTTCTTTTGAATTACTTGAATGTGTAGGTGTTGCTTCAGCTGGCAAAACGACGATTTCTTGCACACTGTTGAGTGAACCTACGATCGGTGCTTCCGGCGAGGAACTCCCAAGAAGCGGTGTTCGTTCGTCGGAATCCCTGACCTCCGTAATCGACGACGACGACATCCTGTTACCTGTCGTGAGCTATTTCTCTTCTGGTCTGTCGAACATTATTGGCACTTTTATTACCAGTAATTTCCAAAGTCAAATCCTAATAATCTTTAATCAACTCCGGATTTTAAAATAGTCCTATTTTCTCTATTACTCCGCACAATATTTCTCTTTTCCAACAAATTTTCGTCTCTTGTCCGTGCCTGATTGCAGATTTGCAGTTATTTCAGTTGCCGATGGAGCAGCTTACTAATTTCTTACAGCTGAAGATAACAATAATATTGGATAAGATAAGTGTGAGCTATTACTTGTTAGATGCGAAATGAAATTATTCTCAAATATTTCTTGTGGAAAAAAAGAACTACTTTCCTAATCTAACTCTTATAGAGAGGGTTAACTTTGAGTTGAGATTACATTGTAATAAATAATTAGTAATTACAAATAAATAAATCAAATAATTACAATAGATAAATTACACAACAAATTAAATTTATAATATTATAGTTACAAAACAAACTATCAAACCAATTTTTTTGCAATTGATCCATACAATAAATTTTTATTTTTTAAATATCTATATGAGCATCCCAATAGGATTTTACCTCATTTTTTAGGGTTGATTCAAAGTGGAAGAGATAGTGTGTTGAAAAGAAAAAATTTAGGTTGTAGGAGGAGTGCATGAGTCTTCGTTTTTTGTTTCATGGAGTGAATCCTACAAACTGAAACAAAAACAAAAAAATTACAGCGGGTGCGCACCTAGTGGACGCGTATACTACACGCGCTTATTGGGCGTATTGAGAGTGATAGCCAATTATTGAGAATGCACTAAGATAAATAAATAATAATCAAATAATTAGTTCAAGATAATATGTACAATACAAATAACAATATGAAATAATAGATGATCATGTGTTACAATGGGATAGCTCTATTTATACTTATGACCAAACACTAGTGTCATGCTGACACGTCGCAATTAGGTGGCATTAACTGAGTTGCTTGATAACTACGACAACTTAACTTTGTAGTATGGTAAACATAAGTTAATTTAGTCGAACTTGTTTAGTATAATTGATACACCTGTTAGTTTTGCCAACTAGTTATAATTGTTCCAATACTCAAGTATAATGGCTGATGTTGTAAATACGGGAATATTATTAAATGTTATATGTATTGTACAAGATACAGGGTTAGGTTGATCCCGATGGTGGTTCCTTAACCTTGATCTGCTTGTTGGTTTAACTAATAAAGCCTGGACAACGTGACAATGGGTCATAGGTTCCTGAGCTCCAAAGTCGTTGCGTAGGTAAATAGCAAAAAGTCTCAATTGACATCAATAAATGCGGTATTTATAGATTCCTGACCATACGGGACAGGACAGGAAATCCCAGGGATGGTCGACCCGACTAGAGTAGGTCGGGTGATAGGATAATGGTGAGCTCTCTTTAGGATGACCCTTTACGAGAACCTAACATGCACAGATGAGCGGGAAGACCAACTAATTAGCTCGGAGTTGATCGGCACGGATCCACCAGAGCTCGCATGCTTAGGACAGGTTAACGTATAGGCACGAGACTCGGGGAATAATCACTATTAATGACATTTTGTATACATAGTCAGTGTTTGATACTATATACTAGATAAATATTGCTCCTATACAAAAACTCATAAATCGTATAAGAAAAATAAATCACACTAAAAAACGTATGTAACAAAATGAATTGAAATGATATTAGCAAGAATTGAATTCATGACATTTTGTTACAAGAGTATAAAAATAAAAGCGAGAAAATGGTCAAATAGGCCCCTAAACTTTACCCAAAGGTCAATTACAAAAGTGCAATTAAACCATTAAACATGTCAAATTGGGTCAATGAAGTCCAAAAACTGATAAATGACCTGTTATTACATGTCATTTCAATTATGGCGATCGGCGAAAAAATCCGACCGTCCGGTCGTCTTCTACTGGAGAAGACGATCGGACGGCCGCATTCTCCCATGGAGAAGACGCTTCTCCATTGGAGAAGAACGACCAGATCTGGTCGTCTTCTCCGGAAGACGACCGAACGTCGAATTTTGTCGTCGGTGATCATATTTTTTTTTTACCGGTGGTCGGAATTCCTCGCCGGTGGCCAGAATCTGTTGCCGGAATTGAAATGAACTGTAATAATAGGTTATTTATTAATTTTTGAGTTTCATTGATCCAATTTGACATGTTTGAGGGTTTAATTGCACTTTTGTAAAGCTTATGATGCTAATTGATCTTTGAGGTAAAGTTTAGAGGCCTATTTGACCATTTTCTCTATAAAAGTTACAATGTGACACATATACAAATTATTGCTTACGAAAATAGCATAGTAGTTAAGGACTTCAGTTTTTTCGGGTAGAAAGCTAAAGCAAGAAGTTCATCTTGCTTAATTCAGCGTGATATTGACTCACAAGTAAAATATTGTATCATGTTCATATCATGACAAATTATTTTGTGGGCCCGGATCCATATTAAGATATAAACTTAGGTTCAAATGTTCACAATTTACATGCTAAATATTTACAATTTACATTTTAAATATTTGTATGAGTTTTAACTTAAAAACACAATTTATATTTTAAAAATTCACACTTTCAATATTAAAAATACACAAAATACATAATTTATTCCTACCAAGATCCACCTCACAAAATAGAATAACAATTCTCATATCATCATATGAAATTCAAATCAGTGGCATTATAGTTAATAGCATCATTATTGGGCGTATTTAGAGACTCGGCGGTGGTTCAAAGCCATACCATACCCACGCCTGATGATTTCTTCTTTCTACAACTCCTGGAGAATTTCTTCCCTACCGTGAAATCGTGAATATAATCATAGATTGTATCACTGCCAGGTTGTTTAGGATTGATTAAATTGATTTGAGCATCATGTCGCTGAGACCTAACGCCAGAACCGATGCTCGCCGGAGCCGCTATAAGGTCGCCGTTGATGCCGACGATGGTCGGAGAAGAAGAGAAGAGAACATGGTTGAGATCCGCAAGAACAAAAGAGAGGAGAACTTGCTTAAGAAGCGTCGCGAGGGTCTTCAAGCTCAGCAACTCCAGAGCTCTGCTGCCGTCTCTCTTATCGATAAGAAGGTTCATTTCATATTTTGTTTTTCCTCAGTACTTGATACCTCCCTTCGAGCTTCGATCGGATTTAGCTAGCTAAACTCAGATTTCGCATGCGATCAGTACTTGCCGATGTTCATCTTCCTTTTGTTTCTGCTGATGACTGCATTACGTATTGTTTCATAGTCTATTGTGCTAACTTTCATATGCTTCTGATGGTTGAAGATTGTATTGGAGTAGTAGATTATCTCGCCGAAGTTGCTTAGGTGTATTTTTCACTGAAATTGTATTGTCTGTTCGATTACTTCAGTTAGAGAGTCTTCCTGCTATGGTTGCCGGGGCTTGGTCTAATGATGCCAATTTGCAACTCGAAGCAACTACTCAGTTACGGAAGCTCCTTTCAATAGGTTCCTTCTATAGTTCTACTCAATGCTATGATTTCAGTTGAGATTTGCTGGGCATCATTTTGCCTCACAAATTTATATATTATTTTCTTTGTGAATGTCATGACAGAACGCAATCCACCAATTGAAGAGGTGATACAATCTGGAGTTGTTGCTAGATTTGTTGAATTTCTTGCCAGAGATGATTATCATCAACTTCAGGTTGAGTTTTGTTGCTGGCATTTCTTATTATATTTGTGTGTGTATAACCCCTTGCATTCATTTATTCGTATTTGATATCATTGGTTATTCTAGTTTGAGGCAGCATGGGCTCTCACTAATATTGCGTCTGGGACTTCAGAAAACACAAAGGTTGTAATTGATTATGGTGCTATTCCAATTTTTATCAGACTTCTTAGTTCTCCAAGTGATGATGTTCGTGAGCAGGTATGTGTTGTGAGACATAATAATACTGTTCTTCTTGTGGGGTTTGATTAATTTTTTTCAGCATCTAATAGTTAGCAGTGCAACATTACAAGTGAATGACCGATTCTTCAATTAAGTTCTATTGGTTTCAATGTGCTTTTGAGTTCTCAGGCCGTTTGGGCGTTAGGAAATATTGCTGGTGATTCACCCAACTGTCGTGATCTTTTGATTAACCATGGAGCTTTGATGTCATTATTAGCACAGTTTAATGACCAGTCAAAACTGTCCATGTTGCGAAATGCAACCTGGACACTGTCCAATTTCTGTAGAGGCAAAAACCCTCAGCCTCCATTTGAGGAGGTTAGACCTTTTTTACCTCCCTCTCCATCTTATTTTTTTTCTCTCTTATATAAATCTATACATTTACATGTGTATGTATAAATATGGGGGTTGAATATGCTTATGCAGTTAAAAGTGGCCCTACCTATTCTTGCTCGTCTTATACTTTCAACTGACGAGGAAGTCCTGACAGATGCATGCTGGGCTCTTTCTTACCTTTCTGATGGTACTAACGATAAAATCCAGGCTGTGATTGAGGCTGGAGTCTGTCCACGCCTTGTTGAGCTTCTGCTGTTAGTAATAGATTTTACTATCCAACTTTTACAAATTTTTGTCTTGTTTACTTAATAAGAATCAATTGTTCTCACTTTATTTTTTGCTTGTTGATTGTCTTCAGTCATCCTTCACCATGTGTTATTATTCCAGCTCTAAGAACAGTTGGTAATATTGTTACTGGAGATGATATCCAAACTCAGGTATCCAATACCATTCTGTTTGTTTTGCTATAATTTTATCTCTTGTACAAAAATGCATTAAGCTTACACGGTGTCTGCTAGGGTATATACATACATCATTGCGTGAACTCTTTAGTAGATAAGCAGCAATACATGATTAATTGGGTCCCCTGTTATTCCATGATACTTAAGGTGCTAATTATATGCTAAAGATAAGGTTTTATAATCAGCTCCCCTTGTTTATTTTCCTCTTTATTTGTAATTTCATTCTCATTTACCACTTGTTCTGTCTTTTACTTTGCTGCTATGCATAAAAAATTCTTAAACTAGTGTCTTGATCTTTGATGCTAAACAGAGGATGAGAAAAGTCTATTTGGAATGAAGAGGAAAAATAAATAAATAAATAAGCCAACTACCATGTAGTGTGATGACACCTCTATTACCATTCCAAATGGGTGGCATTGATTGTTTATTTGTTTGGGCTGAAAAAGATTGAGAAAGTATAGTAGACATGGTTTAAATGTTTATTTATTTATTTATTTTTTAATTTTTTTTTAAAGACTTGATAATTATAAACTATTTAATACTTTAATAGTTAATACTAAAATATTAAATGTTAACCTAAAAAACATCTAGGGTTTGAATGATTTAGAGTTATTTAGTTCAAAATCGACGTTGTTTTGAGTAAAATAACCCATTTAAAAAAAGAAGAAGGAAACAATAGCTAATCGGTGGCTAGGCGGGGGCCCTAGGCCACCTAGACCACCAATTATGGTGATATGCTAGGCGGCTGGCCGGTGCCTAGGCGCTATTTTTGCAACCCCAATAGTAGAATTACTTTGTAAAGAATTATGACTATTAATAAATAAATAAAGCGGGAGATGAATGTACATGCCTTTTTTGTGTATGCAATTAAATCTTAATCTGCCTCGTCCTCTATCCCTTGCATTTCTCCAACCTTACGTGCTATGTAAACTAACATTAGATTTCTCTTTATTTTCATTCCTTAGCTCTCTTAAGCCAAACAATATTTAGTCTTGTATTTGTTCCATGAACTTGTATTCTGGTTTAAAAATTCTAAATATGATCCTTAGTTCATCAATAAACTATTTCCAAATTACAGGTCATGATTGATCATCAGGCCCTTGCTTGCCTTCTCAACCTGTTGACTCAAAATTACAAAAAAAACATCAAGAAGGAAGCATGCTGGACAATCTCAAATATCACTGCTGGAAATAAGGATCAAATTCAGGTAATCCCTGTACAGGCAATAAATTTAGTTGTATTATCCTGCAGTCACAATATTTTGCTAGAATATTCTCAGCGTTGTCATGGTTCAATACCAGTGTAGTTTCAACAAGTAACTTTTTGGACGTTTTCTCCTGATTACATAATAAAAAATTTGTAATTCTCATAAATATGTTTTGACTTTTGCATCAAACCACCTCTCATTTAAAATGAAGTTTTAAAATTTTGTTTCCTTTTTAATTTTAAAGTTGATACTTGTGTTCCCTGATGCATGGTGATATTAAAGTTGTCTTAAATTTAATTCTCAGGCTGTGATTGATGCTGGTTTAACTCCTCCTATTGTCGATCTGCTCCAAAATGCTGAATTTGATATAAAGAAAGAGGCTGCTTGGGCAATTTCAAATGCCACTTCCGGTGGATCTAAGGAACAAATCAAGTACGGAGTATATCTCTTTTCTTTGATTTTGCAGTGTAGTTGGTTGCTACTTTACAGGTGAGTTGAAGCTCATATTTGGACTGTTTGGCAGATTCTTGGTTGCCCAGGGTTGTATTAAGCCATTGTGCGATCTTCTAGCTTGTCCTGACCCAAGAATTGTGACTGTCTGCTTGGAAGGACTGGAGAACATTCTGAAGGTTGGGGAAACTGAGAAGGCTGCAGATGCAAATGCAGATAGTGTTAATATATATGCACAGTTGATTGATGAAGCTGATGGTTTGGATAAGATTGAAAGCCTTCAGAACCATGATAATAATGAAATATATGAGAAGGCTATAAAGCTCCTTGAGACATATTGGTTGGAAGACGAAGACGAGGACGAGCAGGTTACATCAGGTGATGCTCCACAAACTGGATTTGACTTTGGAGGTGGTGAACTAAATGTTCCATCAGGAGGATTCAACTTCAGTTGAAGGTGTGATTCTCTCATACATGTTCATATATTTTCCGTTAGGCTGTGATGGCATTTTCATTAAAGTATCATATTTCCAATTATGGTGTGTGTTTGCAGAACAGTAATGTATCCTGACCTGATCACAAAACCTTGAATGGAGTTTGTCATGCCACTCATTATTCGTCAATACCTTGCAGGAATCAGATTAAATGTGAAGGCCTTGGCCAGCAATACAAATACATTGGAGTCGGGTGGATAGTTTCTCCCAACACTTTATTTGGTTCAGATCCACTTGCTTGAGATTCTTCAGATCTCTGGTTCTATCTCTACGGTGGCTACATAATAATAAATTATCATATGATCAGAAATGCAGCCGAGGCCGGCCAGATGGTCACAGTCCTGTTATGAAAGAGGAATTGTTTGGATGATTTTTATTTTTTTTTTGGTTTTAAAAAATCCATCCTATGTTTTTCATTTGTTTGTTTGATTTGTCGCATTGTAATGTGATGTGAAGTTCTAAAGATTTATTGAGAGGTGGAATATGTAAAGCAATGAGTAATGGACGCTTTTGAGGCAGTTTTTGTGGTTTGTAAGGTCAATAGACTGTGAGTGATTTAAATGTAAATGAGCAGCTTGTATTTGCTGGTACAATGAATGGGTTGTTGGTTGCATCTGCCCTGCATTAAGAAAATAATTTTGTTGGCTCATACTGAAAGTAGTTGTTATGAATCATGGTGTCACCATCTACATGTACCCAAGGTTGATGGTTAACTATCGTGATCAAAATTAAGGCGGAAGGATGATGGACCACAGAAACAGAAGACTATGTTTGCACAGCCTGATAATTGCGGACTAATTATTACTGAAATCGGCTGACGGAGACGTTAACTTTTGATATAAATAAATAGAGTAAAATCGAAAGCGGCCATCAATAAAACATCACAGACAATTACTTAAGTGAGATTAATAACCGATTATTGAGCTTTACTCAACAAATCCGGAAGAAAGTAGTCAAGTAAGATGCTATAAGTTTGACCCCGAGGTCAAGGACGTTTCAGTGTGGTAGTGTCAAATCAAAGTATAGCTATCTGGCCTCGCACTTTTGTCAGCTACTCTTCAGTAGACAGTAGCGATGCAACTCTATACCCACCCACACACAAGAAAGTGAAGAAACTGGACTAGAAACACTGGTCATTTATGAAAGAGCAATTAAAAAGTTGTATCACTATTTAATACTGTATTTTACAAGGTGAAAAATTAAATGCTTTAATAATAGAAGCACAAACATAATCAATCAGATAGACATTTGGGGAACGACCTATTAATCTTTATAATAACAAAGTTTACCTAATATATATCATTAATGTTGGTTTGTATTGTTAAAAGAAAAAATCCAATAGACACCTAAGCAGTGAGAGGGTACGTACTTATCAAGACACTGGCGAACAATCTCGCACCACAGATCTTTTAAAAGGAAACGTCGACGTGGAATGCCGAAGATCCCCCACTCGTTTCAACGGCTGAGATTGCTGGAGCAAGATATTGTTGGAGGTTTGGATTAGGTGGGAGGGAATCCAATGGAGAGGGTAGTATTCGTGAAATTTTAAAAAATGAATGGAAAATGAAGAGTGAGGGGGGTCTAGGGTTTCGTGTCTTGCAGACCACTGTCCACCTAATGCTTCACTGTTGTTACCCATTTATCCTTTTTTTTTTTTTTTTTTTTTTTTAAATTTATATTTCATCTTAGATTTAGTAGCCGCTGACCGTCTGATTCCCTTCAGCCCACAGATAAATGTCTCCCCGCCTCCCAACGGCCCAAACGTTTTACACCCCTTTGATCTCTCCTTCTCTTTCTTGATTTCTTCATACATCACAATCTCTCTCTCCCTCTCCCTCTCTGTCTGCCTGTCTGTTGTGTTTATGTAGCCTCCATTAAAACAAATTCCTATTTCCCACCCTTATCTTCTTCCCGCTTTTCACTTTTGGGTTTTCGTTTCCTCATTCTAAATGCGTTTTTGTGGGTTCCTGCTGTGACATCTTTTTCTGCATTTTTTTTACTGCTTTCTGGAGTGTATGCGATCATGGATCTGAATGAGCAAATGGTCAGTGATTCCTCTAAACTATTTTCTTCTCCATTTTTTGCGATCATGCTTTTATCTCCGCTTCCTCTTAGGCTCTTACCGTCCTTTCTGTTGCAGGGATCAAAAGAACCGGATAGCCCTTCTCCCCAGGTTAAGAGTTGCAGTGATTGTCACACCACCAGAACGCCGCTCTGGCGTGGCGGTCCGGCTGGTCCCAAGGTAGTTTTTTACTTGCTGATTTTCTGTTTTTTTGTTATGAGTGGTGTATAGTAATGAGGTGAAGTTTTGGGTGTAGTCGCTTTGTAACGCGTGCGGGATCAAGTACAACAAGAAGAGGAGGCAGATGCTAGGGTTGGACCGGGGGAGGAACGAGAAGGGCAAGAAGAGGAGGAAGAGCGGCGGCGGCGGCGGAGACGGCGCCGTTAGCAGCGGCGGGAGCACCGAGACAGCCAAGTCGCTGAGGATGCGGTGGATGGCATTGGAAGGAGAGACGGCGTTACGGAGATCGGAAAAGCTGTTGAGTCAGTTGCGAGAGGAGGAACAGGCGGCGATACTTTTGATGGCTCTCTCTTACGGCTCCGTTTACGCCTAGGCCCGCCCCGCTCCGAACACCAAACCCTAACCCCCATCCCCATACAACCAACCATTTTCCCTGTCCCCCGTACCCGTTGTAGGCAGTAAAAACCTCTAGGATTACTAATCGATTGACTCCATTGTTAACCCTCAAGCTTAGTGCTGCAATTGTAAGATCTTTGTTATAAGAAATGCAAGAAGTAGAAGAAGATGATGCTGTAATAACCGACGGAGCATTCATTTTCTGTTTTAGTAATGCGATCTAATCTTGAATTTGTTGATTTTTTTTCCCCTTTTTGTTTGAATTGTTGACGTTTCCATGGCATTCATTTGTCGTCTTGTACCCTTCACGGGTTCATCAACTTCAATGTCAGTGTCTCTGCTGTACATTGATATTAATTACGGAGTACTATTCAAAGCATGAAGACTGGATTCCGAGGGAAATTTCAATTTTGAATCCATTTTTCCAATTTTTGCAATCTATCCAACTTTCAAATTAGTAGTCGTACGAGTCCTTCTCCAATCTCCATTGCAGCTGGCAGCCAGATATGCAAAAGGGGAAAGTGTTGTTCATTTTTCAGTAATTTTTTCCTGAGAAAACAAAATCACTGGAAAAAGAGAAAGCCTTTTTTTGCCTTTTTTGTAATGTGTTATTGGTAAAACTAAACATTGATTCTACAAAGATTGTATCACGTGACTCCACATTATGATAAATCAAGTGAGAAAATTTGTGATTAAGAAATAAGAAATATCTGGATAAGGCTGGAGATGACGGCGAAGAAGCAAAAATGTGACGCGTAGAAATAAGATGCCACCAGAAGCTCCAGAAATTTCGACACGTAACTTTTCATTCATCACTGCACCGCCGCCGACACGTATATAAGCATCATATCCTAAATTTGGTTAAGCAGAGTAAGAATTGAATCATTCTACATAGGACGGTAAAATTAAAACTATAAATTTCTTGTTCCTTTGTCGCATACGAAGCCAGATCTTAAGTATGTATGCTAGATTAGCAGCAAAGCTGAATCGTCCCCTTCTAGGATTGATTCCGAGGAATCAATACTGTCTGCCGGAAAGACTTTTGTCGGCCTCGGTAGGCCGGACAGCGGACCCTGATGTTCATGGCGGTGATGTTGATGTAAGTAATAAGTAGTTGGTTCTTCATTCTTGATACGTGGCTAGCTAGCTGCGTGTGAATATATATAATTATGATTTATATATATATGCAGGAATATGATGCCGCGGAGGCGAAGAAGGCGGAAACGGCGAAGGGGGAATCGGAGATTAAACCCAGCAACACCGGGAAAGTTCCATATTCGCCGTCGAAATCCCCTTGTGGGTCATCGCCCAAGATAGAGAGCTCCGGCGTGAACGATCGCATAGAGCCAAACCTCCAACAAAAGCGTCGCAACTCTAACGCTTCAACAACAGACGTGAGCTGCGCGGGGTTGGACGGCGGCCCGTGGCCGGATGACGCGACGGACCGGCGCCGACAAGAAGACGACAACAGGGAATACTTCAAGCACCACAAGGCGTCGCCGTTGTCGGGCTTAAAGATGGCCGACACAAGAAAGCCGATAACGCGAGCAACCGACAGCAGCGGCGGAGCCGCCGCAGGAGGTGTGGTGGTGTGGCTGCCGGAGCAGCTGGAATCGGCGGAGGATACGCTGTTGAGAGCCATGGAAATTTGGAAACAAAACGCCGCGAGGGGCGACCCAGATTCCCCGCACGGCAAGATTCTCAGGAATCTTAGAGGAGAATATTGGTGATCGATATAAACTGTAAACCACGGTTAAACACTCTACTTATATGTTACACCCCCCGTAATAATACAAACAACTACTCCTTGGATTAATTCCACGACCCATTAACGCCGTCACTTACAAATTAAATGTGGCCCCTACAATAACAACGTCTCAGGTTCACTAACATTAACAAATAACGGCGTATAATGTTATATTAAAGAACCAAAACCTATAACCGGAAACAATGAAACAACCAGAGTTAATACAAACCACCGCGTATTCACTTTCAGCGGCAAATGCACGTGCAACGCACACGCAGCGACGTTGACCTTAATTACCAGGATCTACGTACTGCTCCCCTGCAATGGACGGTTAGATGCTTTTTTATTTTAGTGAATGCCAGGGTACAGCTAATTCCAGCTAGGGTACAACCACCCTATAATCTTCATCATAACATTTCATGTAAAATTGAATCGGTAAAAGTCACTACTCACTAGTATAGGTAAGATAACTCGTGAGATATCTTGTTAATTCTATTTCTTAGATAGAGATAAAAATAAATTATTATAAGTTATCTAGTTTGATTAATTTTTGAGTTATCACAGGAATTAAAAACCTTTTTTTAAATGGGAGGCTGCAGATTTGTATTAATTGTAATATAGAATCTGGTTTTAAAAAAATTAGATAAGCTTTGTTGACATTAAAATGTCATTTTATTAAACGTAAAATGAAATTAATGATTAGAAAGGGAAAAGTGCATTAAATTGAAGCGAGAAAAGCAGTTGAAACTCATTTAATATTACCTCCCATATACCCAACTCCCCACTACCAAATTCCTATATTTCTCGTCTTCGTTTATACGCAACATTCAATGTTCTGAGAATCTGAGGGGAGTTGAAGAGATAAGGCGGTTACGAGATCGTGATCCGGGAGGGGAATGGAAGGGGTGTCTGTTAATGTATACAACGGGATAAAGCAGTACTGGAAGACGAAGAGGAAGGGATACGAGAGGATAAGCCGCGGCGGCCGGAGAAGGAAGTTTGATACCGGAGACGGAGCTAGCGGCCGGAAGAAACCGTCGTGGAGGATAAAGCTCACGCCCAAGATCAAGCTCAATTTCAACCTCCGATTTTCTCCCAAAAAGCTGCTTATTCGCCTCCGCAACGCCTACGTCAACATGATGCTGAGGATCGCCAACACCCGCGTCATCGGCGGCGGCGGCGGCATGGGCATGGGTGGCTTCTCCGGCGACACCGTCGCCAGCTTCGGAGCCCGGCCACTCAAGGAGTACGACGAGAGGATGCTCGTCCAGATCTACAAATCTATGCTGGCAGCTCACGGCCAAACTCAACTGGTTCCCCGTGATGCACCGCCGCGAATCGCCACCCCTATTACTTGTCGACGTTAGGGTAAAAATCCTTCCAAACACAAAACTATACAAATTAACTTTTTCACTTTTCACCACTCATTTTTCTGTTTCAATCCAGTAAAAAAAAAAAAAAGATGCAATATATCCGTCAAATAACGCCGTTATCACTTACTTCCCTTTCACCGCTTTTATTAGTCAAGCTCATTAAATGCTAGCAAAAATTTGGCATGCTATAAATACCGCTGTGTATTAATTACTGTAATTCTAAACTCATAATCTTAATTAGTACTTCCAAATTCGTCTCATTTTCCTCCTGGTTATATTTATTATATTCATTAATTAAATTAATTAATCAAATCTGACATGGACGGTCGTACCAAAGCTTAGTGGTTAACAAGTAAAGATGCCAATAATGTGTGTTTGCATGTGCGTCCGAGAAACGACAAGTTTTGTATGTTAGTGGGTGCAATTTTCCCATCAATTGTCCGGGCAACATTTGAAAAAGCAAAATTTTAGGTTCAAAAAACCAATAGTAATAGAACTTGGCCACAAGGAATTTGTTTGTAATATAATGATGTCGCTTTCCTAACGTTAAAAGTAAGCAAATCACAAATCATTATTATGTGAGTAAAAGAAGGAAGAAAATAATGTAACGTCATGTCTCTCTAAATAAGAGGTCATAGATTCGATTATCCTAAATAAGAGGTCATGGATTCGATTATCAATTGAGACGGTATTGATTGTTTGTGCTTCAGTATGACAGTATGTGAAAAAAGTAATTATGAATATATATTATATTGTAATAGAGTTACGGGAAAAAAAATGTTTAAAATTTGGTAGGGCTGTGGTAGTAGATATGTAATGAATCGTTGTTCAGAAAATGGGCCCGTCTTTGGTTCACTCAAAGCATAGATGTCTCCCAATAATTTTCTCATTCTCATCATCACCACAATAGTAACTGTGAGTAACCAAAATTTAACTCTTCGGCCTGAGTTATTGGGCCGTTGTCTTTGGCCCAATACAGCAAATGTGTTGGGCTTTCCTATGAGCATGGACCTTGGCCCACGACTATATAATTTCGGGTGCAAAACATCTTTTACCATGAATCCATGATTACTATATAAATTCAACAACACTGATAGAAATTACGATTTGACAAGTGCTATGCTTAAGGAAGCTAGGCATGAATTATGGAAAGTCTATAATTACTAAATTTCTGTAATAAATCTTTAGAAATATGATTTTCATAACCATAAAATCGACAAAGAAAGAAGGAAGAAGGACAAGCAATCAATTTTATACAAAGTAATACACATTATATTCTTCATCATTTTAAAGAGTAGACTATTAGGGACGCTTGGTTCCTGAAATGTTAGATTACAACTTGTGGGGTATAATTGAGGGAAAGTGACTCATCCATCTTTAACTGAAGACTAAGGGTTCGAAGTAATCTTAAATTACTAGGCCAGCTGTCCCACTCATAAGAGGCGTATATAATTCAACGAGAGTAATTACTATGTTCCAACGGTGAAAACCTTAATTACACTAAAAAAAATGTTAAATTTCTTAGAGAATATTATATTGCTACGAATGTTAAATTATTGTGAATATTAGATTCTTGTGTTTGGTTAAATCTGAGGGGTATAATATAATATATAAACATGTTTAGTTTATGAGTTATCTTTTATGTTATAATGATATTTTTTTTTAATAAACAAAATTTAATACCTTTACATATTTCATTGTATTTCATAAGTTTGTAATTAAAATAAATAAGGCAAAGACCTTCGGGTCTAGTGGTCTGAAATGGTTCAGACTTTTGAGCAATATTGACTTTTTGTACTTCAGTAAGCTGAGAAAGTAGAATAGTCAGTAATACTCAAAAACCTAAGAAAAAAATAAGATAATATGAATCAAACATGAAAATATAACATTCTAAAAGTCAAATTCTTTTGACTATGTTGTATAATTTGAACCAAAAATCCTCTTAATCTATCAGTTGAGCAGTACATTCATTTGATTACATTACTCGGTAATTATATTGCAGTACTATATATACCCCAACCGCAGTTTACAGTAGACGAGACTGGGTCAATTTCTGCACCGACAACATAGGCAACTACCAACATGTCTCTATTCTTATTATTTCTTAAACTTTCTTAAAATAAAAATAAAATAAAAGCATTGGTTTAAACAAACGCATCAGAAAATGCCACCTTATCTGATCCTTTAAACATGTATTATCTTCTCTTACCAATATTAAAGTTGTCGCTGATGTCATTTTGTTGGTGAGGATAAATTGTGGTATATACTATTAGTCAGTGCTTTCTTCTTAGCTTGCGAGTGGCGACAACTTTTTCAGTCACTTTTTTTTTTACCTCTCATATTTTCTGGATTTGATTATAACTTCAACATCGCCTGCAGGCCTTTCAGTGTTCCGTTCTGATCTCTTTTTGCCAGAGCAATAAATGGAACTGCGAACGTTAATTGGTTCTTCCCTCTACACGTCACTTGCAGCATAACTGCATATATGACCCACATAAACTTACTTAAATGATTCATTAGATAGTATCTGAGAGAAGAGATTAAGGTTCAAACTTCGACTGTGACAGTGTGAAAATTATACCAAAAGTAGACAGATCATTTGTATGTATCCGTATTGAGTCCTGTCGTGATTTACATCCTTCCAAATATTTTATCATGGGTATGGGACTCTTAGAATTGGAAATTCAATCTTTGGAAGAAGATAACTGCAGGTATAATTCAGTTGATTTCTGGTAATAAATTATGGGTAAAGATAAAATAAGAGATGTAACGGAAATGGGGGTTGAAATGGTCAGGTTTACACCAAACGTGGCGTGTTTGAAAGTATAACAATGGCGATTAGGTGGTGTGAGAATATTTGTGTAAAAAACTGGACAAAATTGATCTCAGCAGTTAGCTATACAGTTTTCAACGTCATCACATCAGCGCAGGAGTTAGTTAGGCTCTAATCAAATTATCAAACCAATTGCATCACTAATCACAAGCAATACAATGGGAGACGTATGTCGGCGTGGGCGTTACGTTAGTTGTTGGGCTTGTGTCAACCTCATCAACGCCTCCTATTTTTATGAATTAATACCTAATTTAGTCTCGACTATTAGGATTTTACCAATTTAATTTTCGACTATTAAAGTTTTTTAATTTAATATCTAACTATGCAATTTTTACTTAAATATAGTCTTTCGATTATTAAGATTTCACAACTATTATCCCGACTATTAAAGTTGTTCAATTTAGTCCTTAATTATGTAATTTTTACTTAAAATGGTCCCTCGACTATTAGAATTTCACTAGTTTGATTTTAGACTATTAGGATTTCACCACTTTAGTCATCGATTCTCTAAAAAGGTCTCCAAATTCACACTAAACTTACATTTTAGGTTAACATTTGTATAGGTGGGGACTAAATTGAACAACTTTTGTAGTCGAAGATCAAAGTGATGAAATTCTAATAGTCGAGGGACCATTTTAGGTGAAAATTACATAATTAGAGACTAAATTAAGCAACTTTAATAGTCGATGACCAAAGTGGTGAAATCATAATAGTTGAGTGGCCGAATTGGGTATTAACTCTATTTTTATTTTATAACCCGAAGTTTCCACTTCATCAATAGATTATATCTTATACTCCTGAGCCCGCTCTTAGGTTGTCTATTTTTAAAATACTTGAAATTAAATGTTTACTCTATTGAAATCCCTAACTGTAGGAGGCATCTTTTAACCCGTACTATATTCAGGCTAATCCCTGTACACACCGGGCCGACCCAATTAAGATTTACGAGGCAAAGTACTGGTCAAATTGATTTTTTCATATGAGACCGGGTTCGAACTTCCGACCTCTCTTAAGGAACAAGAGTGCTCTGTCTCCCAACCAATTTGGTTAATATTTGTATTTCTTTTTTAAACACCATCTTCACTCCTTATTCACTTGTGTTATAGGATCTCCATCGTTCAAATTCGTCCATTTTAATTAAGTTAGACCATAAAAAATCATGCATAAAGACTGAAATATGAGTGGTCGAGTTAGTACTGGAGTTGGATATTCATAATCTTAGAAAGGGTATCTGACTATATTGGCATAGGGCATCTGTGTAGCGAGAGGGGGGGTGTTAAAGGTTGTCGGTTTCGATGGAGAGAAGGAAGCTGGTCCAGTCTCACAAAATGCTCGACCACCACCTAACTCCCATCTCCAAAACATCCTTTGAATTTTTTCTGATCTCTATTAACTAAAATAAAAATTGTATCGCTACTTTCCAGTTTATGTCTATTCATTCTTTTTCAAAAATGGAATCTCGTCTGATCTCTTGTGGTAAGCTAAGGTTGTACATGTTTAAAACCTGTTTTCTATCTACCTGAATCATGTAACACTCCATCTCTTTGAGTATATATATATTTACATGACAAAGGAGTGGTACGGTGCAAAAATTTTGTGGACCAAAATAGATTTGGTTTTCAACCTGTCTGAATTTGGTAGATAATTTCAGCAAATATCATCTTCAAATAATTAAAGATCATCCAACTAAGATGAATCATAAGATAATGTTTCATAGTCTAAACATGTTAAAAGTTTATTACCAAATGTTATCTTTTCACTGTTTGAAAGTGTGCTTAAACCTTACACATAAGAGATAAATTATACTCCATAGTAAACATGTTAAATTTTTTTTACCAAATACTCCGTATTTTATTACATAGTTTTATTTTATAATTAATGGTAGTTGGGTCCAATTTGTATAACTAATGATATAACATGCCAATTAACTTTAGGTAGTTGATAAACAATTCATTTAGCAATTTTATACACACACACCATGCCTAATATTAGAAAACAAATTTAAGCTTGCATAGACTTAATTTACCGGTTTAATAGACAATATTTAAGAGAAGAAGTAGAAGATAAATTTAAAATGAATGAATTACAATCGGTCAAAATAGTTAGTGAATTGTTAATACAATTGTAAGGTATGATAATTCACTATAATGAGTTATGAGTT